GCTTGTTTCAATTTCTGGGAGCGTTCACAGACGTTCCCGATCGCGGTCAGCGATAGTGAGTTCAAAATGAAGATATTAAGCAAAAAGTATGGGGAACCCATCATTTATTCTGAGGGTCACTTATCGACAACAGTTTTTCCATCTTCGTCCAATAGTTTCCATTTTGAGCAAAAGCTTAATTGTGGGACATGTTATCGTAATTCAATGACTTTTAAAATCTAATTTTGTTTAGAAACTGCTTTTGCAGCGAATTTTGCAGCTGTTGCAAATACATATTCGAAGTTGATTGTGTACTCAATTAATAATTTCCAACTCACACTCCTTTTCAAAACAGTTTTGCTGTGATTGGCACTATGGGGTGAAATAGGATTTTAAGTGAGATAATTCAATATTGCTTGAGAAAATCCTCGCAGACATCCAAAAATGCACTGATTTCCGAGAAGAAGAAACAAATTTTTTTTTCGCAAAAGAAATTTGCAATAAGTGGAATGGACTGAAAAAATCTTAGGCTCTGGGAACTGATATATGTTATGTGGATTATTATAGCGATTTAAATATTGAGTCATAAACTCCAAAAATTGTTACGATTTGTATAAAGTTGCTATGAAAATCTGGTATCTAGTGGTATAGTTTTTGGGATTTTTTATCATTTATTTGAATAAAATAAAAGTTGCTAGTTTTCAGATTTAGATTTTTTTCTTTCTAATTTTTTGGCATATCTCAGTTCCTGCTTCCTCGCAGCGTTTACAAACTAGCGCTATACCTAGCAACCTTGCTGTTCTAATCTGCAGGGTGAAACCATCCATCTTCAAGCTGTAAAACCCGACTTAGAGCTATCGCGGCCGAGTTTCAGTTTTCACTCTATGCAGTTATAACTCGTTAACTCTCAACTCTAAAACACTGTCGCCATTTGTCCTTGAAATCGTCGCGTTCGAGAATGTTTTATTGAACGAGCCGGCACTGTGGCCACGCGAAAATTTTTGCGTTTCCAACTGCGCAACTGAGAACTCTGATCGAATTGGGCGTGATTTATAGCAGCGGGTCATTTTTGATCGGGTTCATCTGAGATTCGTCGAAGATCTTAGTCGATTTCTAAAATGCGAACTCGAACATTTGTTCTTTCAGACTTTCTCCAAAAAAATTATTGGAAACTATTCGCTCAAGTCTGTTGTTTGTAAAAATCATCGTAATGTTGTAGACACCTTCGTATCTCTCTATTTCTCAATAATTCAACTATTTTCACACATTATAATTAGCTTCGAAATTGCAAATTTGTGAGAAATGTCTGTATGTCCTACTACGAATCTTGACTCTGAGTCATGTGAGTCTTATCCTGCTCGTCTGACAACTCTTATATCTTTCTATTTGTCTGAAGTACTATCTTGCACAGATCAACCTCGTTCAACAAAAATATCTAAAGTCTTGAGTAAAAAGTTCTTTTCACCATTGACAAAGGCAGGGGCCACCGGTGGCCTAATGCATTCTCACAAAGTTTTCTCGCAACAAAATGTTCCCGGAACTTTTGTAAATGAGATAGGGCATAGTTTACAAGCTTACACATTCAGTAATTGTTGAAAAAAAACGGTCTTATAAAACGAAGCAACTAACCAAGAGTCGGCTCTGAAGATTTGTGTTGTCGTCGCACTGAAATGGTTACCCTCTACTGTATACTAAAACTCAAAATCGCACGATCCGTGCCCTTCATATTTATGTGGTTAAAATGAGAAAATTCGGTTTGACTTGACTTACTGGAATCCACATGTGAATAAACTTATTGTTAGACTAAGAATTTTTCGTTCTGAACATGGATGACATCGGAAATATATTTAAGAACGACAATTTAGCACAAACGACGGTCGAAATCCATTTTCTTCCTTCATCACCATAGCTGCAAATGTTTTCAGTGATCTTGCTTTGAGATGAATGTATGAAAAAATTCGACAAAATTTTTTGCCTAAAAAAGTTTTTGATTTTTGAAATGCTTAGTGATTGGAGTAAAAAAAGTTGTGATGATCAATAGTGTTTAGTGTGATGTTAGGTTACCATACCGGTCACAAGGACAAAATCTCAATCAGAGTTTTTTCGCATTTTTTCACATCAAAAAAATTCCTTCACTCATGTCGACGTTTCGGTAATCCGAAAGCATTAAGAATGGCAGTCAAATTTATGTAAATCAAGCAAAAATGCAAGAGCAGCGATATATATTGAAAGAAAGAACAAGCGCTTTACATAATTTACAAGCGCTTCATTTATTCAGGACTCCGGCTCCTATAAGGGGAAATCGATAAATGTGTTTTTTTTTCATACAATGATGTGAGGGATTTATTTACACAGCGGTAATTCGTCTCATTTATTGAACATTAAACATGGCATAGATTTGGGATGCATCTGACTTATTATGTAGTTCAATAGCATTTCTGACAATTTGAGAGCCTAACTCGAAGAGAAAAACAGAAATAAAGCACTCAAACGCTATATCCATTTTTATGAATAAATATAGATTTTTTTCGAGGGTAAAAATTATCTTCCAGTTGTCCAAACAATGCCGTTTGGATTGATTTTGAGAATACCGATGACTTCCCGGACTCTTTATCACAAAAAACACCGTTTTCGATTTCTCAACAAAGTACTTGAGAGAAACTTTTATTCAGAAAGTATTTGATTGCCAATATTTTAACTTCTTGCTATATGTCTGAAACTGTAATATTTGCACAGAAATATTGAATTGCCAACTGGTGTTCACCATGAAGAAAGTCCATTTATTTATTGTCCTTCCAAACATGAAAAAATTTGCAGAAAATCTCTTGGAAAGATTTGAAGAACATTTGCTTTTTTTTGAAGGGTGGAGCCTACAGTTATAACCATTATAATAATCATTATTATTTTTTTACACCCAAAATATGGAGACAAAAATAGATACTCAAATCAAAAAAATGCCAAATCGCCATACCACGCTGTCGGCGATTCCTTAGAAATTTTTTTGGTCATTTTCTTGAAATCATGGTTGCACCGTAAGTGATCTACACTTGTAGATGTAATAGACCATTACATTCTATGTCCAGAGTGGGAAATGTATAGTTTGCACTATGTCGAACAATAAACTCATGATGACCTTTTACCGTATCCCCATGTGTGGCTAAAAGTCCCATTACCACGGAAAACGTCCAAAATTGGTCTGTGCTTGCATAGATGCATCCACAAACATCGGCGGCCCACACATATGGACTGAGATGAAGCTCCACCCCTTTTTAAGGCCAAAATCAGTTGGAGTTGGGCTGCCGCCCACAAGCGTTACGCAGCTGGGTGTGTGCGGATGTGTTCATCACATCCGTAGCGCTTCTGTTGTCGTTCGGTCGGCTTCTAGCGGTGTGCGGGTTTTTGTGCGGGGAAGGGGGAGGGTAAATCCTTCTAGGAACTTCTTCTACTTTTCCTTACTGGGATGAACCGCTGGTATGTGAGTCTGTCTGTCGCTGTGTGTCGATTGCCATTTGCGACGTGTCATGGCTACTCTGCGTCTCTGGCGCGACGTCCGTAAGCTACGTCCAAATGTCTCGATTCTCCACGATTCATATGCTATTTTCACTCGAAAGAGCCTTAAAACGTCTTCAAGACGCACAAGACACATACACACAAAGCATCGGCAACGAAACGATCATCAGAAGAACAGCTGATGCGGTATCAGACGGCGCAGCACGCAGCTCGTACGCATTCACCCCCGCCCCTTGGCTCTAGGGAGATCAAAATGTTGGCGACTCTGCTTCTCTGACTCTGACCCTTCTACAGTATCCATTTCGTTTCACTTTCATTTGTAAGGGTTTTTCTCTAGTTTTTCTGCACATTTTGCATTTGATGCTTGGAATTCGGTTTTTTTCCTCCACTAGCACAAATAACCAGTTCTACTTCCTTTTCTCCCAAAGAATAAGGTCATAGTTCTCCCTGCGCGTTTCTCCCTCTTCCCAACGCTACGTACTTTTCATGATTTTCCACACGCACCGCATTTCTTGTCCTTTAGCATTGCTTTTCAAATCGAATCGTCACAAACGACTACCGAGTGCGGTCTCTCTTTGTTCTCAGTCAGTTTTCTGCGTTTTTCCACTACAATTTTACAACCTTTCTCGCTCTATGTGACCTCTACGCCTCTTACAGTGTTTGTTTTCCGGTTCGGTAAGGTGCAACCAGTTTCCGAAGCGTTTTTTTTACTTGCGTGTAGTGTTCGAGACTACCAGTCGGTAAAGTTTTAGGTATTTATTTCAAGATGTCGCCGATAGTTTCTTGTGCACTTTGCAGTCGTATACATGGATCTTATTCGTTGAAGAGTTATATAAAACACCAAGGAAATAGTAATTTGCAGCAATTTTGCAGCGCAAAATTTTTTTCTTATAGAAGGTAGAGCAAAAATTTTTTCGCATTTTGGCAACTTCAAATTTAACTCCATGAATTGCGAGGAAAGACTCATTTACAAAAGCGCCTTTTCCGTCATCATTCAGACAATCTTTCCAGAAAATTTTTCTAATTGGTTGGGCTTAGTACTTCGTAATATAATCACAGTTTTTGAGTCTTTGATTTTCTCTTCAATCATTCTTTTTCTTCGTTCTCTTAGTCTATGAAATCTTCTTATCTAAATGGTGTCTGGTGATCTTTTGCGGTTTTATTGTTTTTCCATAAAGCCTCTTATGGTTTCGCGACCCTATCTAAGTAAAGATGCAAGTACAAGAAGTTTCCAAATAGTTCTTTCGCCATGAAATACTGTAGAAAAAAGAGAAATTTATCAGAATTTTTGCATCTCACACTCTTACTTTTTTCTATTCTTCACCAAGTAGCACTTCTTCCGAGTCAATAAATTCATAATGACGTTTTTGCTCAATCTCTAAAAATTATGCCCCGTCACGTTCAGTTCTCCTTATCTTCGCGTCACTCAGGCTATTAACTGCTACACTCTTCTCTCACCCAATCCCACACAATAGCTTTAGGAATACAGTAATCCTGAGTGTTCTTTGCAGGATCGTCCTCAGAGGCGGTGAATTTCGTGTCCACGGGTGCAGCAATGATCGTACGCATGCGTGGTTTACCGTATGATTGCTCCGAGCAACAAATTGTAAGTTTTAATATTCTCATACTATGAAAATTTTCGCCCTATTCACACACAGAGTTGACGTTTCTGTTATGACCCTGCGTCTCCGGAATAATCACAGTATTTCGTCCGCATTGATCAGGAAGCTTTTATGAAAGGCTCATTACATTCTGATTACAATACCAAGGCCACATGATGGCCCTGCAAGTGCAGTTAGATGGAGGAAGGGGGAGCAGAATGGGAAACATGGCAAAAACGAATAATTTTTGAGTTTGCTTGAACAAAAAACTTCTTGATTCCCAGAGAACAAAGAAAGAACACAAGAAATTGCCTACAGATTTGACTGACAGGTCTCCTAAGTATCACTGATTGTAACGCTCGAACAGAGCACAACGGCTATTATCAACGGTAGTCCCTTAAAAAAAACTTCTAGGTAGGTAACCCATATTGATTTATTGATTGGAGAACAGAAAGCTGAACAAACTGCTGTCTAGTTAACATCGATCTGCCCTAGAAGCTTCTTTTAGAAAACTTTTTCTGTAAAATAAAATAACGGAGACTGATTCCCAAATTTAAAAACAAATGAGTAAATCTTTACAAATATACCTCCAAATCAAAAATATGTAAAATAAATGCAAGGAAACCCGTCCTCAAATTTCGAGTTCTGGCTTTTACTAAAAATTGGACTTATTATATAGAAAAAACCGAGCTATATACTATTAAAAATTTGTGGAATTTTCTGGTGGTTTCAAAACTTCCCAATCAATCATTATTGAGCGCAGTAATGAAAATTAGCCTTGCGCTTTTGACATTTGAACAATTCTAGACAGCGGCGAGTGAGTCAGTTTATGTTATGCCTGAGTCAATATAGAAACATGGAATCCTTGGAAATACTGTTTTTCCGAAATTTTTTGATGGGAACGACTTTCTGCAACCTCAGTGTAATTATGGTACTGTATTTTTTTGTTGAAATGAGGGTGTGGTAAAAAAGTGAATGATGATTTTTGCGGATTATCTGCTTCAATCTCTGTCAAGAAAATTCGAATTGAAGCATCCTGACTTTTTCTATCCATCGCCTCTACCTGGACAGCAGCTGTGAATGGATTTCGCTTTTCAATCAATAATTTCAATCAATAACAGCATAGATAGCTTCGATGATTTCATTGGCAGCTAAAACTGAGCCGAATATCTCTAAATTTGTCCAGCTGTCTTCAGCCATAGCCGCAAGTGTGTCCACCTGTCTGGACTGAAACACGAGAGCGCTCGATTTATTGATCGATCAGCAGGTGGTAGAACGGATACGGTAGCCCTTCGATCATTTCAACAACACATTTAGTCACAATAACTTTTCGTACACTTGCATGTACTTTTTCAAATGATTGAACATATGATTGAGTACAAAGCTATGAGCACTCTTGTAAACACGAGTTGTGTGATGCGGGGAAAAATAGGGGATCGGGGAGATTTCCACATGTTCTCGTTTTACATCGCTATCCCACGATTAAGCGCAACCAGGCAAGAGCAATGGAGAAACATTTCAGATAATTTATACAAGAAATTGCCGAGATTTTACGTCCTTTGCCGACTATTGAACAAAATGTAAATTTATGGCACTTATCGCTGCCTGATTATATGTTTTTTGTATGTGAATTTTTAAGCAGCATTATGATCGTTGAACTTACAGACGGGGGAGGATTGGGAAAAAGCCTCAAAAAGCTAATGTACAAAATATGCCCCCCCCCTCCCTACTTTAGAGTTCTTGCTGTGGACGTTCTTCAGAATGGAGAAATTGTTAAAATCAAGGTTAATCTAACAAAAAATAGCATTAACATAAATAATTCTTACAATTACGGGAAAACCATGTAAACTTCCACATGATTGCTTTCTACAAGCAATGGCTTTACGCCAAGCGAAAAGCATTTTGTTTGGTGAAGGCAAAAGGAAATTTATTTCATTGACGAAAATTCCCAGTTAAAGTAATCTGCTTGTGCCGTGGGTGCCAAATAGGGCTAGAAAAATTACCCTGGAATTGGTAATTGATCAAGTAATTCGGTAAAATAACAGAAGTAAGGGGCCTACAACACTTGTGATTTCTTACGTTATCGGTGTCGAAAAAGCTAAAATTTTTTCAGAGATTTTTTTCTAGCGACTATAGTTCTGTTTTCTCCAAAGGCATTACAATTTTTTGGAAGAAGATGTAGCAATAAGAAGATTTACTTTGCTTTGAAGTGGATTTTATTGGTTGGAAGGGCGGAGAGACGTGAAATTGGCTTGAGACTTTATTCATTTATCCTAACTTCATGTCAGAATAGAATGTCAGACAACTTCTTCTTAACGATCCAAGAGAAGTACTTCCGTTTTTTACTTGCACTCGTGTTTTCCTAATATCATTTGGAAATTGCTATTCGGCCATATTTGTCTGTATTTGCACATCACGCGATAATATGCACGTGGCGGATCATGAACCGTTCGCTTTTCACCTGTCGCCCTTTTATCATCTACGTAAGCATTTGAGCTGAGAGAAGCTACTTTTCAGCGTTTTGATAGGATTCTCTAGTGTGCCTTGGACTGAAAAATCAAAAAGCCTCCTAAATCTACTTGTCAGAACGAGGGAATAGCGAAAAGGGTTGAAGTGTTATGGTGGAAAGGGGGGAAAATGCAATCTCTAAAGAAGGACGCGTTTTATTGCTAGTTTATATGTACATATGACACAGCTCTTTTTTCAACGACGTGGGAGGGGGTCCTGGTGAATTTATGAGAGGATGTTGAGTGCTTTTCAGCATTGAAAAATTGGTTGGCCATAAAGCAAAAGTGGCAAGCTGCATCATATTTGAATTTCCGGACGAGAAAGGAAGGGAGAGGGGTGGAGGAGGGGGGGGGGGGTGGAAAGAATCTAGCTGGTCGATGAAAATATCAATCATGGTATGTACAATGAAGATTAAATATCACTTCTGCTTTTTTGGTAAAGAAGATGAAGCGAAGAGAGTTTTTATGAACCGATATTCACAACTGCAAATGTAAACATCACGAATATTATTCTATTGTTTTTTTTGGTGGGGAGGGGGCGGTGAGAGTCCTGCAAAAACAGATATGATGTTGTCATACGCAATAAATACAAAAAAAAGTCCCAAATAATTGTGAGGGAGCTGGGGGTGGGGGGGGGGGGTGGGAGGGGAATAAGCAAATGCGGAGCCTTTCTATACATCCACAAGTTTGAAGAGTATACATGGTTCTTTGCACAGCCTATGGATCACGGGGTCTGTCAAAGAAGTCAATTTGTCTTAGAGTAATGTTTTTTTTGCAAACATTACGAAACTAATCGGTGCAAGTAGAGACAGCAGACCTAAGTGCCCTGAAAATCTTTTGGAAAAATTCCCAAAACATTTCTCGAACGCAGCAAACAAATGCTATATTTGTGCTCCTTAGCTATACATTCCTATAAAATGCTCGTAAAACTCTCCTCTTCCATAAGAAAAGCACATTCTTTGTGTGTCTCGGAGTCTTGCGCGAGCATGACGCAAACAAGCCCCTCAGAACAGCGTATAGCAGCTAACACGATTGCTACGGGTACGATTCTACTGCTTTTTTGTATTTTATTGTTATAGTAAGTTGGTTACGGTTAGTGGTTGGGTAGTTATGTGCATTACTTGAAGCCTGAGGCTCTTCAGCGTTCTTCGTTTGTTGGTGACTATTGTTTTGTTTTTCTAAGCTGAAAGAGTAATTAAAGCGGGTGGGTAAACCTTACCGGCTGGTTTGTTCAGCCAAATTCATTGTGTTGGCTGATGCTCCCTCGGGCGGTAAGGCTAGCGTTGTAAACTTTTTTCACAATTTTTTGGAAAAAATTTTCGAGATTGTCTATAACGAAATAGCAATGTTTTATATGTTTCATGAATAGAATTCTTTTCACTCGAATAATCTCTTTATTATCTAAATTTGAAGTCAAAGATGTGTGTTTGAATTTCCACAGAATGGATTCAAAACTTGAAATAACCAAATAACAATTTTCCGAACTGGTCAGGATCGTTACTTTTCACTGTCACCTTCAAACATACATTGCTTGTTGGATTTTTTGAACTCTTTTTATACTTACCAATCTATCGCTTTAAATTATCCTTTAATTTTAATTTCAAAAAATTACAGCTTTTTTAAAGTCAAAGGAGCATCTAGCATCTATTTGTATCAGTGACTGACGATTTCTATGATATCAGCGATTGACCAACATATGGTTCCGCACTTACGCGCGATTTGTAAACATATCCAAAACGTAAACAAAAACACAAATCGATGAACAACACATTTCAGCGCGATTTTTTTGCTCGGGAGCCGGATAGTTGTGAAATGATGGAAAATGTGCTGTTCGTTACAAGAAGCGATGGTCGACCAACCGGTGAGTAATCTACAATTTCTACATTTTTACGATCAAATTTATGGTGGCTGCATCAGCTGCATGAAAAAAATCCGATGACGTCAAAAAATAAAAACGGTTGTGTGATGATGTCAATGTTGATTTTGCAGGTGACGCATTTGTGCAATTTGCCGATGAAGAACAAGGCCAGCGTGCTCTATCAAAACATCGTCAAACGATCGGAAATCGATACATCGAACTGTTTCGCAGTACAAGTGCTGAGGTGCAACAGGTACGGTAATGCGGTTACTGTAAGGCGGGTTCTACCGTAAACAAGGAGACCTGAGTACGGTATAGGTAATAGAAATTGTAAAATGGTTTATCTATACGGTATAAAACTCAATTTAGTCTACAGTCGAGTCATTTGTGGCTTGATCTGTGTAATGCACACCACGCGCGCCACCTCACGGTATGTACACTTGCAGCTTGCCAAAAAAAATTTTTTATTATATCTTTTCACGTATGTCTAGGGTATAATGTGTAGGTGTCTATTCCTGGTCGGTATGATTATAGGTTAAATTTGTTAAATAAGAGCCATGGGTCCCACCCGGAATGCACAAACTACATAGTCAGTGTTGCAGACTCGGGCTTTGGGCACACAGTTTTGTCGCAAAAATAATTCTCTTCAAGTCGTTAAATCCACCTTCGCAATTTCCTCATTTTGATTTCAAGTTTTACTTTCTTTTCGCGCACCTTTTACTTCTTTCATTAATTGCTGCTTATCGATATGTAAAATTCAATACAAATCCTTTAGTCTACGCATGGGCAGTTGCAAACTTTTTCCCTACCTCACGGCCTCCTATGGAACCGGTAATTATTAGCGTACACGGTGAAATGCACGTTAAAGAAGTGGGACGAGTTCTCATGGAAACCCTATGTTCTTACATACCGCGAAATTGGGTTATTACAAACAGGGCCTCTACACATTAGTTCGTCTACGCATGCATAAGAATATGGATGGGAAAGAGGATATCTCGTCCAAAAAGTTTTTCTAACACGTTAGCTTTGGGTCCTACCGATTAAATTTAGGTAGTGAAACGTTCCACAGAGCCGTCAGCGGCTAATGGTACACGTCGTGATTGCGTACGTCTTCGTGGATTACCGTATGAGGCTAGAGTCGAGCATGTGGTGGAGTTCCTCGGCGAACACGCTCGTTTCATACAGTTCCAGGGTGTGCATATGGTTTTCAATAGTCAAGGTGAGCCAAGGGCTTTTATTTGATTTTTTTCAAGTCGTGAATTCTTTGGAAAAAATTTCCATTATAAGCTAGATTTTTATATCAGTTCATTCCATCGCGTTTAGTAAGCTAAAGTGGGACAGACGTCTTTTATCTGCTTACAGTATTCTAGGTATACTGCGCGCGACAAATACATGTGCAATGCTTGTTTGAAAGTGCAACTTTTTAGTAGAGAGCATTATTTGAGGAATATAAAGACAAAAAACATCCCCTCCCCCTCATGAGGGGCGAAGCCAATCCTGCTACTTTGATCCCGCGCACTCACGTATATATAAGGGCGCAAAAGGGCCTACACTCGGCTCAAGAACTCGCGTAAAAGAATACGCATCTATATTATAACTAATTTCCTTGAGAAGAAATTTCTGAAATTCATTATTTTTTCGATTAGCTAGATCCATTTCAGGACATCCATCCGGTGAAGCATTTATCCAGATGAACAGTGAACAAGCTGCGGCTGGTGCTGCTGCCGCTGCCCATAACAAGTTTATGGTGATCGGAAAGAAACAGAGGTATATTGAGGTAAGCAGAAGCTCACACATGTTGTATGAACATTACTTTCGAGTTTTGTGAAAACAGCGCACTTTGCCTGCTACAGCACGATGATTTTACATCGTACCGTACTTCATCGCAAGCATTTTACAAATTTATTGAAATTGCGCAGCCAAAATACTACGATGCTACCCTCTCACTCCTGGTGGTAACTTGCACTTTAGTCCTATTCATCACATCCTCCCTGTGACGTACCACGTACTCACTATAAGCAAAAAAAGCAGTAAATCAATCAATCCAACAATTCACTCTTCTCCAAGGTCTTCCAATGCTCTCCCGATGATATGCATTTGGTAATGGCACCTACAGCTCCAGCGCCGGTGCCACCACCTCCACAGCTTATGCTGCCACAGAGACCAGCTTTTGTGCCAAGTATGTTGAAATCGTAATGCTACCGTAATTTTGTCCATCTATCATCACGAAAAGATGTCATCTTTAGCTCTTGTTCCAATGTCGGCGCCAATGTTTTGGCCATATCCATCGCCTCCAGTATCGCCTAATATGGTCATACCTGGGCAGGCAAGTTACAAATCAATATATCGATTGCTATTACAACTTAGTGACTTATTACTAAGTTGTAGGTGAATCAGCTGGTGGTCTATGGCATCGGCCCGAATGTTGGCCTACCGGACATCATCGCCCATTTCCAAACACCCGATGTGGTCGTGGAGAATGTGAGTTGTTACTTTTAAACAATCGATAATTGATTGACAGTAAATTTTTCAGGTGATGTTTACACGCGTTGCTCAGGGTAATATCCCAGGTGAAGCCGTGGTAACTATACGATCGCGAACACCGTCTGATCCACCGGTGGTTGCGATAGATCCGCAATTTTTACAAAAGGTGGATTATTGATTTGACCAATCCTTGGGACAAAGTATAAACGATTGCGCATGTTAGTTCCAGATGCCGATTGATGCACAGTTCATGCCTGGCGCAGTGCCAATGACGCTACCACAGCCGATCTACACACTTATCCAATCGTAAATATGCGATGACATGTCAGTCTATCATTGGCCAGCCATACCATCAACCAATCAGCACAGAGCACCAATGGCGGCGGTGATGCCCGCAAAGCGCGCATTGCATCCGTAAATCACACCACTGCACCCGTTTTTTGGCCACAACTGTCACCGCGCTACCGTATCGCCTCCCGGCTACTTTGTGTGTGATATCATAGTACGTTCAAAGAATTTTACAGAAAAAATGCAACCCAAACCTCTAAACATATCTAGAAAAGCGTGAATGTAAACGACCGAAAGTCACGCATTGTAGTCTAGTTCTTTACCATCCCGTTATCCCTCTATACTCACTTTAATTCATATTCTTTCCAACTTTACAGGTTGTCCCCTATGTTGCGCATTTTTTGGGACATCCCTAACACTTGTTACCCTCATCTCTTAGTCAGAACCTAAACTGTATTCTAATCATCTTGCCTCCTACGTTTTTTTCGTATTGTTATGTTTTATTTTTATACAAGATTGCTCTTTTTCCTTCCAACAACACGCCAAAATACAAGCATTACAACGTTCAAATAGCGCCTTATTTTTCATACGAGAATGCAACAGCAGCAAGCATAAACGTGTCCTTACTAGTGTGATATTATTTATCAAAGTGATTTTATGACGTATCATCAGTGAACAGCATATGATGTGTACCGTAACCTATTGCATATGTGCCTAAATATTCGTAGATCACAACTAATCGATATTTGATGTTGTTGCATAGTATAGTACATCAGTGTTGATCGAGTGATATATCATATTCATATCCATACAGCTATCTACATGTCGTTCTCTTTCTCGTCTTACAGCAGCTGTGATTTGAAAATGTCCTCACTTTACCAAACAAAATTCCCATCTATCCATCCTTCCCCTCCCATTGCTGCCCCCAACCCCACGATTTCCATTTTCAAAAATTCCACCGTTTTTCAACCGCCTCCCCGCATCATCCCTATGAGTTGCGCATAATAGAACGCGCTCCGCAATTATTGTCTACGTGTGCGAGATTTGATTGTACAATTATTCGTCATTGTTTAATAAACAATCAATAAACTTGTGAGCAGCTGCTTTGTGTACGTCGAGTACTCGATATATAGATCAACATCCAATGGTATTTGAGGGTCTTAGGACTTTGCAAAAAAAACAAGAAAAAATAAGTTCATCAATTTTGAGCTGCATAATTTCAGACAAGAATTATGTCAATCCTTGAAGCGCTGCCACTGAAGCACCCCAGACAAAGTTTAGAGTAATGACGTTTTGATTTGATGCGGTGGTATGTTCCCAATAATTGCCCAAGTCTCTCTGCAAGAGAATACTCCGGAGACAAAAAGTGCCCGTGGGAACAGCACTGATGCTGCTAAGGTGGATGGAGGGAGAATGGAAGAAGGGGTTCAAAAACACGATGCAGAAAAACTGAAAATGATTGGTGGTCCAACATTAATATCCAAATTCGAAATTGGAACAAGACTATGCTTATATCCTACAAACAAACAGGTAAAGGACACAAAATACAGAATAATCAAATGAGAACAATGGAAGCTTCGTGTGAGAAATTATAAACTGACAACTGCTTTAGAATATTCTCTTTGAGACACCTTTACTGAAGCAATCTTCTCCTACAAATCTGTTGATGTCCTAGGCGATACGCACGTCTAAGTTTTTCCTTTGGAGGCTTCAACGTGGCGGTGGTAATAATCAACTTCCTATAAACACTTCTTGAGCGGGATCCTTAGTAGGAGGAGAGCTTGGAATTTTAGTCCGCACATACTACATTACGCGCAATATGACGTCATATTCGCATCTTTTTGGTCAAAAGAAAGCCTGGAAGTTACAAATTACAAGTTTACCGCTTGCCATGAGATCACGTTCAAATGATTTTGCCCAGAAAAGCTTTCCTTATCATCAAGCGGCGGGCGTCATAGACTACTATTCTTTACTGATCCACATCTGTGGACTCATTTTCAGCAACAAAGTGGTACCGCTAAACTCTAGACTACTAAGTATCAAAGTGATGTTGATCAACACTAGTGTGGCAAGCACTGTTGTTTGACTGCAGCTACATAGTGTTTCTTGACACCATATTCAAAAGGTATGTGAAGTCGTTTTCAGCGACAAGTATTGCCGCTAAACTCTAGACTACGGCAGAAGTAAAGGGTGTTGATCAACACTAGCGTGGCAAGCGCTTTGTTCAACAGCAACAACGTAGTGTTTCTTAACGCCATAGTCTGCATCTGTGAAGTCGTTTCGATCAATGAAGTGGTGCCGCTAAACTTTAAACAACTACAGTATCAAAGTTGTTTATCAACACTGTGGCAAGCGCTGCTGTTCGACTGCAGCAACGTAGTGTTTCTCAACACCATAGCCTGCATCTGTGAAGTCGTTCCCAGCAACACAGTGGTGCCGCTAAACCCAAGACTCCTGTAGGAACAAAGTGGTGTTGATCAACACAAGTTTGGCAAGCACTGTTGTTTGGCTGCAGCTTATACGAACTTCGCAGCTCGTATTGTTCTTTTCTCCCTCATATAGAAACTCATCACATCCTTGTAGTTTAGTCATACTTTGCCAGTTGCAAAGCATCGATGATTTGCATCGTTTTTTACTACTGGAGGAATTTGCAGATGTTGGCATCAGATGTGAATTGCTCATGGTTTTTTAGCTAACAGTAGGATGTCGCGCGCAGCTGTGGTTTAAGGATGTGATCGTACGCATACAAGTAGCTGACAGTGCACACTCAGAGTTATTCACATGTACTACTTTTGCTCATTTGCTTTAACATTATTCACTCACATATTTTGCCTTCTTCCAATCATAGCATTCCTATTTGTAGTTCATCATTTGATAGTATATTTTGTTATTTGTTCTATCCGTGTTTGTTATTGTTATTTGTTTCTTTGATAAAGTTTAATTACCCAAGTTTGAGGTGTGCTCGTGTTGTCCAACACTCAAGACCCGCGTGGCAGATAATCTTTGTGGTTGTGGTTCACAAGTGGTATTCGAAGCCTTATAGTTCTGACTATATCCCAACCACTAACTAATACAACTGGTGCATCGGCTGAACTAAGAAGGTACACATTATTGCGACAGAGACACCTTCCTTTGCTTTGCTTGCACGGTACAGCTACGATTGAACAATAGAGATTTGCGCTCACAGTTGCTCAGCTTATCTACCAGCACTTACATCATGACGACAACAATAAGAGCATACAAAGGACTAGTGACAAAAAGGAATGATGTGGCACTGAACTGGCTGCAAGAGTCGGCTCAGCTCCTTCAAAGGATAGAACAAGGAGGTGTAGCAGCGCAACGCGAACGAGCCAAGGAGATTATGATGGACATCACCACGTGCGAGGAGTACATAGACCTTCTAGAAGCTTCAGTAACCAAGTTAACGAAAGCCTTCGACGGTCTACAAGACGCCACCGACGAAGAAGAAGATCAACTAGACAAGTACGTGGAGAGCGCACAAGGAACAACAATAATGAAGCTGCATGCACACCGGTCCCAACTGAGAAAGTGGCAGACTGACATCATGGAAACGCACAGAACGGGAACCGATCTGGCAAGTTCTGTGGCAGTCAGCAAGCTCCCTGTGATACCCATCCCTACATTCACGGGGAAGAAATGGGAATGGGACAACTTCTGGGCTTTGTTCAAAGCCAATGTGCACGACCAGGAGTTGACAGAGCTCCAAAAATTCAACTACTTGCTTTCTTCTCTGAGTGGAGAGGCGAAGCAATCAATATCTCGGTTCTTCGTTTCGGCAAATAGCTACGAGAAAGCCATTCAGCACCTTGCCAAACGATACGGAGACAAAAGTGGCATAGTACGACAGCTGAACAGGAATCTGAAAAGCTGTTCAGCAAGAGGACCAAGCACATTGGAGCAAAGACAATTGTGGGACAAGCTAGCAGCAATAGCCAATCAGTTGGAAGAACACGAGCAGCACCTGGACAACGAACTAACAATCGACACTTTTCTGGAAAAATTCCATGTACGCATACGAAGAGAAGCAATGGACAAACAGTTGAGGAGCGAAGAGGGAAATAAACAAGAATGGACACTAAACCATTGATGAAGCCATTTCACGAGAGGAACAACTAAACGACAGACTCTCGGCAGAATCGCAGCAGATCAAAACTCCGGCACCGACAAACGTGAGAAGAGGCAACGTGTGCGAGTGCTGTGGAAGCAAAGGACACAGGTGGACAACCTGCCCGCAAATTCCCACAGCAACGCAAAGGAGGAATTTTCTGCTGGAGTCCAACCGATGTCTAAACTGTGGGTCAAACAATCACAGAGTAGCGACATGCTTTAGCGGCAACTGCCGAAACTGCAACAAAAAACATCACACGGCGATATGCTCAGAAAAAAAGCCAAGTGAAATGACACAAAGCAGACCACCTATCAGTCAACAGAAGAAGCCGGAGGGAGCGAGAACACCAAAAAACCAGCCGACGACAGCTGCAAAATCCTACAGTTCTTCGAAACAGCATGCGGTAACGGAGACACTCGGACAAGACACTCATCTCACAAAACAAGGAGTAACGGAAAGTGCCGACTCTCCAACCGTACTACAGCTAAAGAAGAAGAACGATTGGAAACAAAGTAGGGTAGTTCTACTTACGGGAGCAGTACAAGTGCTTGACGCCGATGGAAACAAAAGAGAAACAATCGTCTTATTGGACACAGGCTCGGAACTCTCATTCATTGGAGAGCAGCTCGCGAACGAGCTCAACTTGCCAACGCTAGATACAACTTCTCTCGAGCTCAGCACATTCGGGTCATCATCACCGAAAACAAAAAACTGTGCGTTAACGCTTTTGAAGATGGTGGACAAGGAGGGAACACAGCATGAGCTGCAGCTGTATAAGAACGACTATATTACAAGCACCGTACAACGAGCATGCCTCGATCATGAAGATTTGCAGTTTATCAAGAGAGGAAATTTCGACTTGTCTTTGCCGATAGAAGGTGGAGAGTTGCAGCCGCAAATTTTACTGGGTTGCGACCATCTCTAGAACTTCATGGAAACAAGCAACAAACTGAGTCTACCATCTGGACTGCAGCTGATACCAACGAAATTAGGGTACATCATCAGCGGACGACAAGGAGACATCCCTACGAAACGGTCGGTATCGTGCACTCTGCAAGGTTATGAAATCGAGAAGGAGACATGGGATCGCTACTGGTCTTTGGAATCTGCTGGCACAGAAGAATTTACTGGCCCACAGCAAACGGAACTGCAACAAATAAGAAAAAAAAGTGCTGGAAAACTTCAAGAAGTCTATCGAAAAGAGAGAAGATGGCTATTACGTACGCCTACCATGGAAGGAGAATCACCCAGAACTCCCAGACAACAAGGCACTAGCAATGAAACGCCTCGTTAGAACTCTAGAGATGTACCAGGACGATAAGGAAATGTTGCAGGCATACGATAACGTCTTCAGCGATCAACGTGACAAGGGAATAATCGAAGAAGTAGCACCGGAGGACGCTGACAATGGAGAAGTGATCCATTACTTACCGCACCAGGCAGTGGTCACCCCTTCTAAGGAGACGACAAAGATGAGGATCGTCTTTGACGCATCAGCCCATTATAAGGATTGTCCCTGCCTCAACGATGTGCTCCATCAAGGTCCTCTTATTTTGCCTGATCTTGTCGGAATTTTGCTTCGATTTCGAATTCCGAATATCGCAGTGATGTCGGATATTGAGAAGGCATTTCTACAAGTACGACTGCAAGAAAAGGATCGTGACGCCACACGGTGCATCTGGGTCAGGAATATCTCACTCCCACCCACGCCGGACAACATAGTGATCTACAGGTTCACCAGAGTTACCTTCGGACTCAATGCTTCCCCCTTCCTCTTGAGCGCTACGATAGATCACCACCTAGAAACCACAGCAAGTGATGACGACATGGCCCCGGAAATAAGAAGGAATTTGTACGTGGACAACTTATTCTTTGGTGCACAATCTTCAAACGAAGCACTTTTGAAGTATGCACACACAAAGAAGCTCTTCCAAGATCTCAAAATGAACTTGAGGGAATTCTGCTCCAATGACAAAACCTTCTCCAACGTCATTGATGAGGCCGACAAGATGAAATCCACCTGCCCCAAGGTCCTAGGCATCGCATGGAATTCGGAAACGGACAAGTTCATTATCAAAGGCTCGATGGCAACCTTGAAGGGAAAAGATACCAAGCGAACAGTCACACAACAACTTGCTTCTGTGTATAATCCAATGGGATTTCTGGTGCCTCTACTACTACCGGCAAAGATATTCATGCAGTCACTATGGAAGGAAGGATTAGACTGGGACACACCGCTTCCAGCGCAACTGCGTGATCAGTGGCATCAAATAACATCAGAAATTGCAACATTTTACAAGGAAGTGAATAGACGAATTCTCAGCAAATCCGATGGCTACAGACTCGTTGTTTTCACCGACGCTAGCCAATACGCAATCGCAGCATGTGCGTATCTCACCTCGCAAGAAGAATCCAACATCATTATGGCAAAATCCAAACTGCCCTCCATCAAAACCTCGATGACGATTCCCAAGTTGGAGATGAATGCACTGACGCTGGGCGTAAGAATGTCTCGCTTTATTTGTGAAATGTTGGAACCATCCTGCAAAATCAAGGAAGTGATTCTATACACAGACTCGGATATCGTGTTAGGGTGGATAAGAACCCCTCCATCGCGACAAAGCGCAGGCATTCTAGTCACAAACCGATTATCAGAGATTAGACGAATCAGCAATGATCTCCGCAGCCAAAGCACCACGTGTCTCTTCGGACACGTCTCAACGGCAGAAAATCCAGCCGATTGCGGAACAAGAGGACTATCAGCAGAAGCTTTACAGAACCATATCTGGTGGACAGGACCTGAATTCACCAACAAACCGGATCATTCAAAGCTGAGTACGGTTGCTGATTTCGAACAATCGACAATGATGTCAGTGGAGGCAGTAACTCTAAACTCGTCAGAAGAGGTATCTAAGGACGAAGTGGTCGACTTGAGCAGATACAGCACCCTTGAGAAAGCTCAAAGAGTGCTAGTGTATGCACTTCGATTCATAAACAGATCCCTGAGTCATTTTCCCCACGAAGGAAGATTGGCAATACAACAACACATACCGGCTCTCAAGGAAATTTCACCGTCACAAACCATCACCGGGATCGAGATGCACGAAGGTCGAATGTGCTTGATTCGAGACCATCAGAAGAACTATGTGAAAGAGCATCAGATCAAGTCGCAGAAGGAACTGAATATCCGACAAGACGAAAAAGGAATCCTGCGCTGTTACGGACGTCTACAACAAGCAGATGTACCAGTAACGGCAGAAACACCAATCTACATTGCACCCAAAACTATGTTGGCACGTCTAATCATCTCGGAAATTCACGGTCATTATCACCGCGGAGTTGCTCATACCATGGCCGCCGTACGCGAAACGTATTGGATACCCAAACTCAGACAGCAAGTGCGAAGTTGGATCCAAAAATGTGTCCCATGCCAAAAGATGAACAATCTTCCTTTTATCTACCCTGATATGGAGGCATTACCAGTGACAAGAGTGCACCGTACGCGTCCATTTGAGCACATAGGACTGGATTATTTTGGACCTCTGATGACCAGTGACAACCATGACGGATCCAACAAGGCATATGGGTGCATCTTCACATGCCAAGTAACGCGACTCATACATTTAGAGCTCGTGGATAATATGACAACCGAAGCATTCCTAAACGCACTGAGAAGATTTTTCGCAAGAAGAGGTGTACCGCAGGCTATCACCTGTGACAACGCACCAACATTCTTGTTGGGAGAGCAAATCCTGAAGGACGCCACAGAGAATATGGTGCACAGCGCGGAAGTAGAAAGCGAAATAGCCAGGAGAGAAATTAAGTGGAGCCATATAACGCCTTATGCACCGTGGCAGGGTGGATTTTACGAGAGGCTTATCCGCTCCATCAAAAACTCGCTGTACAAAACGCTTGGAGTACGCACCATCACCTTTGACTGCCTCAGGACGATGCTAACAGAGATAGAAGCGGTTTTAAATTCACGACCTCTTACCTATCAGGAAGAAAAATGGGAAGAACAACCACTACTCCGACCAATAGACTTTATCCAAAACAAGATAATTTTGGATTGCCCTCTGGAGTACATAGGCAGAGAAGGTCAAGACAAAGTGTACCACACACCCGAAGAAGCACAGCAGTTGGCAACGCAGCGTCAAGCAGAAGCAGCACTGAAGACATCCATTGACTTAACCGAACGATTCTGGAAAATTTGGAGTGAGCAATACATCACTAGTCTAAGAGAGCAGCACAAAGTCCGGATGAACGAAAGGCGCGGAACGAAGAAATCACCAAGAGAAGGAGACATCGTACTTCTTTGGGACGCCGTACAACCAAGAAACACATGGAAAACAGCGCGTATAATACAAGTGGACAATTCTCCACAGAAAACATTGAGAGAAGTTTTGGTAGAAACACCAAACAAGCGCCGTTTACGACGACCAATAAATCGAGTTGTACCTCTCGAGATTGGCAAAGAAGAAATTTCGGAAACCTCTCCACCAGAGGTACCAGCCACACGATACAATCTTCGTCCAAGAAGAGCCATCAGCTACACTGAGCAAGATCAAGAAGAACCGACGCCCAGAAATGCACCAGCATACCCTTTGTCGGTAAAATCATTGCTGACTGTAACGCTACTCTCGATATGCATAATGGGAACGACGGGAACGAACGTCAACGGCAGTTATCACCTTCAATGTATCGAAGGAGGAGTATCTCTACTGCAACCAAGTCAACAGCCCTACGAAATCTGTGCAGAAGACTTTTGCTTGGAGTTCAAAGCACCTCGCCGACAGGAGTTAGTGAAATTTCCTCCACAAATCACTCTGCACGAACAACTCGTGAGATGGAAAATCTTTGATGGAGAAGAGGTTCATATGATGGAAACCACCTGCAAGGCAGCACCTTTTTGCAAACAGATAGACTGCACCTTTTGTGCAGTAATGGTGAGCAACCCAGAATGCTGGCCACGCACTGCCATTATGGTCACCGGGTTGTTAATATACTTGATAATAACTATGTGCTACTGCCTATTTCATGTGCCAGTGTTGATCGGAACTCCGTTACTCTATGGACTGAAGTTAGTCGGCATAGGCGGATGGTGGACATTCAAGATACTATGGCATATGCTGAAAATGGCAACAAGCACATATCGACGTCGAAGAAGAAGAGCATGGATGAGAAACGTCGTTCTTTTAACAGCGCTCTGGAACAGTGGTCTGACAATCGGATGTCAAGATTTCGACGTGCTGACGCATCATACTCAAGCATGCACACAACTTGGAGACGAGGAATTCTGCACAGTTGACACCACAGAGGTACTGAAGATCAACCCTTTCAAGCAAGAAGCCTGTATGAGACTTACAAGCAATCAGACCAGTATCCTGGAAATCAAGCTGACGTGGAAGAACCTTAATTTGTTTTGCGAAAAGGAAACTCTCATGTTTTCCAGGAGCACTAGATACGCACTTCTGGATAGCAAACGCTGCCCCCATGCCGGATCATGTACAGGAGAAAAATGCGCAGGGATACACCGGACATCAAAGGTAGCAGAATTGCAGCGAGTCAATGACTACCCTGGTGTCACTGGATGTGTCGAAAGCTGTGGAGGACCAGGTTGCGACTGCTTTTATCCAAGCTCGGGATGCCTGTTTTACAGAATATATCTTGTCCCCACGGATGACCATGTGTACGAGATCTTCAGATGCCCACGCTGGAAGCAATTGGTAGAACTACGACTTACCGTAAACGAGCAAGGTTTCTTGCAGCGAACCCACAACTTTCACGTTATCCCGAATCAACCGAGAAACATATCACCGTTTACAATCACCCTTTCATCACTGAGCACGCCACCTACGCCAGCATTGAACTCAATCTTTATCACAGATGGGAGGCGACATGCCATTATGGAAGCACACCAGGAGCCGCCGCTAGTATGTAGAACATGGGAAGACGCGCGGAACCTTACTTGTGATGTGTACGAAGACTGCAAATGCACAGCTGCCGAAATCAAGATGATGTGCGACTGCAAGGAGGTAAATCTCACTTCCTTGATCAGCACCCCACGACGCAGACTGCCGATTATACGACCTAATTTCGAATTTCGCATCTTCGACGAAAGGATCACAGCTCGCATACCACAGCTGCCAACCGCTGAATTTATACTCCGAATGAGTGGCAAATTCGCACCATGTCTTTGAGATCCGACGCCACGTGCACTATTGCGAACGCATACTGTACAGGATGCTACAATTGTGCGAAAGGCGCAACAGCATTGCTCACGTGCATAGCTTCGGTAGCGACAACAAGCCGAAGTCCAATGTGAAGACAGCTTTTTCGTCATCCCATGCAGTAAGGAAGGAACGGAAAGCAATATCACGTTTATCGCTGATAAAGCACAGTTTCACAGGAACTGCACGGCACAATGTGGAAAAGCGCAAGCTGCATTTGAGATCTCAGGCATTCTTCACTATACCGGTAACCTGGATATGGCGGCGAGAAGAGTACTGCAAGGAGAAAGCGAACTGTTTTCCGAGATCAATTTACCCGATTTCACGCTCTTAGCGCAGACATTCCTGATGTGGGGCAGTGTATTAGGAGCGACAGCACTGGTTGTAATAATCGCCTTGTTGATAACGTACTTCTACGCCTCCAACACTTGTGTATTCTCGGTCATTAGAGCCCTCTGTGGATTACTCTATGCACTGGCTAAATTGGCACATCGAATGGTTCGACTCTCCTGGCTGTTACCATACCGATTTCTTCGAATGCTCTGTTCACTCAAAAAGAAGAAACCAGAAGAAAAGGACTTGTGAGATCACCAGAGATTACAGCCACAGCGACAGCGCAGCAACGACAAACTAGCCCGTCCCGAACTCATTGGTGAGGCCGGAGTATACGAACTTCGCAGCTCGTATTGTTCTTTTCTCCCTCATATAGAAACTCATCACATCCTTGTAGTTTAGTCATACTTTGCCAGTTGCAAAGCATCGATGATTTGCATCGTTTTTTACTACTGGAGGAATTTGCAGATGTTGGCATCAGATGTGAATTGCTCATGGTTTTTTAGCTAACAGTAGGATGTCGCGCGCAGCTGTGGTTTAAGGATGTGATCGTACGCATACAAGTAGCTGACAGTGCACACTCAGAGTTATTCACATGTACTACTTTTGCTCATTTGCTTTAACATTATTCACTCACATATTTTGCCTTCTTCCAATCATAGCATTCCTATTTGTAGTTCATCATTTGATAGTATATTTTGTTATTTGTTCTATCCGTGTTTGTTATTGTTATTTGTTTCCTTGATAAAGTTTAATTACCCAAGTTTGAGGTGTGCTCGTGTTGTCCAACGCTCAAGACCCGCGTGGCAGATAATCTTTGTGGTTGTGGTTCACAAGTGGTATTCGAAGCCTTATAGTTCTGACTATATCCCAACCACTAACTAAAACACAGCTACATAGTGTTTCTTGACACCATAGTCAACATCTGTGAAGTCGTTTCCTGCTACAAGTGGTGCTGCTAAGCTCCAGACTACTGCAGAAGCAAAGTGGTGTTGACCAACACAAGTGAGCAAGCGCTTTGTTCAACAGCAACAACGTAGTGTTTGTTAAAGCCATAGTCTGCATCTGTGAAGTCGTTTCGATCAATGAAGTGGTGCCGCTAAACTTTAAACAACTACAGTATCAAAGTTGTTGATCAACACTGTGGCAAGCGCTGCTGTTCGACTGCAGCAACGTAGTGTTTCTCAACACCATAGCCTGCATCTGTGAAGTCGTTCCCAGCAACACAGTGGTGCTGCTAAACTCTAGACTACTGCAGAAGCAGAGTGGTGTTGGTCAACATTAGTGTGGCAAGCACTGTTGTCTGCTTGCAGTTACATAGTGTTTCTTAACACCATAGTCTACATCTGTGAAGTCGTTCCCAGCAACAAAGTGGTGCTGCTAAACTCTAGACTACTGCAGAAGCAGAGTGGTGTTGGTCAACATTAGTGTGGCAAGCACTGTTGTTTGCTTGCAGTTACATAGTGTTTCTTAACACCATAGTCTACATCTGTGAAGTCGTTCCCAGCAACAAAGTGGTGCTGCTAAACTCTAGACTACTGCAGAAGCAGAGTGGTGTTGGTCAACACAAGTGTGGCAAGCGCTTTGTTCGACAGCAGCAACATAGTGTTTCTTAACACCATAGTCAACATCGGTGAAGTCGTTCCTAGCAACGAAGTGTGCTGCTAAACTCTAGAGTACTCACAAGCAAAGTGATGTTGATCATTGTCATTATTTGAATGCACCAACGTAGTGTTGCTGAACATCGCATCACATCGACTTGTTAATAACAAAGTAGACTACTAGCATTTGTTAATGAAAGCTTCTTCAACGAAGTGATGCTGCGTTAGAGAGGGCTAAATTTGATTGGTAGGGGATCTTTGCCTTCTTTGATAGCTGCAAAGTAGCTTCTTCAACTTTGTTGTTTGCTAGGCCTTCATACTCATGTCGTGTCGCTACTATCGCCTAAAAAGCCAGTTTGTGATGTAGAGCAGAGATTTATCGCTAAGCGTCATATAGTTTTTTTGTGCTATCTTTAGGCGTGTGTTCAGATTGGCTTTTCTTACTTTGTACCGGCTTTTGTCGTTGTGTACTTGAATACATGTGTGAGGCCTAAGGCATACCTCCAGCGATCTCGTCGATACGGTTTTCGATCGCTGCGACTAGACTGCCTGGCGACCGTTAACTGCGTGAAAATCGCTCATCGCTAGATTACCGGACATACCTCAAGCGTAGAGCTCACACACCACACCGCATTATACGCACTTTGTAACAGAAAGGCCATGCTTTCGGTTCTGCAAAAAACTCGGGGTAGGCATATTTCAGCAACTAGTGCCTGCGAGCCCTTGTCTGCCATTCTGCGAACGATTTTATACATACAAGCGACCGAGATTGGACATCTATTCTATCAAAAAGTTATAACGAGAACATTCGAGATTTGGTCACCATTTAAATATTATTAATAAACAAGAGAACGGAAGAATATAATGCATTGCGAGAACAATAAATGCTAATACAGTGGGTGAGGTGACATATGAGAAGCATTCCATACTATAGGCAGGCGCTATACTCCTCGAGGAGTATAGCATGGCGACGGGCGATCGCCCGTCGCTAATCGATACGTATCAAACGTGTAGTCGCCGATATTGGCGATCATTACTCATTTCCCAGTTCCATTTCAAAGTACTCACCAGCCGGTGAGGTAGCCCTAGAAAGAATGAACTGCAAGACAAGTGATTTTCACATTCAACACTTAACGCTAACCTGTTTGGCGACTGGCGATCGCCAATATCGGCGACAAAAATCGCTGGTTTTACACGTATTTGATGCATATCGATCGTCGCCATGCTATACTCCTCGAGGAGTATAGCACCTGCCATACTTTACATATGGTTTTCAAGGATTTATAGTATGGAATGTTAGATGACCTACCTTCTGTCATGCAGAGAGGAAGCGCTTGTGTGAGATGGAGTAGTCTCAAATGAAATTTGCATTTGCAAAAAAAAAATACAAAACTTCATAACAAAGAAAAAGCTATTCGAACGATTCGCTCATTGCTGGGTCGGAACTAGCGACGGCGACATCGCTGACTTTCAGCGATCTCGGGACGATTTCCCTGCTGAGGTATGGCCGTCCAAAAACGGCCCGCGATCCGTCGCGGCGTCAATCTAACACAGACGCGGCAGGACCACACAGTTGGGGGTGTGTGCCAAGACAAACGATAGCTGGAAATAAACATACTGTACTTCTGCGGTTGTCAATATACCGCGCATGAAGTGTCATTTTTGAAGCGATATTCTCTTTACTGGATTGAAAATGATGTCGAAAAGTGAAGATTAGGGCCTGTTAAGCTCCCAGCGTTTTTTCCAAATTCCCAGATGTCATCATAGCATAAATATAAAAATCCGAAAAATATTTGACCTACGGAACGCATGTGGCTGGCACAAGCTATCGTTCATGTTGGCTGCCCCCCCCCACAGTTGGAGGCGCCTGCGCTGCGGACTCGGAACATATGTCCGATTTGGAATTTGCGACACGACTGGGATCGCGAGAGGTATGCCTTAGGCCCGACACTGAGCTATCTAGGCGGTACATCTCTCCATCAAGACAGAATCTGAGTAAATCTCACCGCAAAAATAATGGTAGCTTCACTATTATCAAGTAATTGTTTTTCTCAACTCTTGACAAAGGAGCTGTAGGAATAAGCCTCATTTGCTTATGTCCAGTAAACACTCCCGTTCACGCAATAGGATGGATGTGAGCTTCATAGTCGTCGCTGTGCTGCATCGGTATTAGGGTGCGTAGCAAGTGGTACCCAGGCAGCCGACTGCTTCCGCAGCCAGCCGCCAGAGCTGCCGGCAAAGCCGCTGCAGATGGTACATTAACTATGCTCGTCGTCTAGAATTCTTGTCGAGAGGTTTTTTCGCACCTCGTCGCTCTGAGGTGCGAAATCAGCCTAAGGAAAGCGTGATATTCCTGATATCCCTATATTATTAGGTTGGCACGAAAGTCTTGCGTAATTCAAACAAAATTCAATGACTTTTCAAAAACTAAACCTAAATTCACAATCTTGTATGCTAAAAATATTAGAAGTCTCACGCTTCATGATGGATGTTCAAGCGTAAGATTCCGTGAGCTGGACATCAAGAACGAAGCTCTCGAATATGGCGCTTCAAATTTTGCGATTTTGAGTTTGGTGCCAGAAAATCGCAGAGTGCCGCTAGCTAGCCGAAAAAAATCCGTAGAATTTACTTACACAGCTAAAGTCCATACGTTGTTTTAGCAGGCTTTGATCTCGCATGGAAACGCGAAAATAAAAAATTTGTGAAAATTCTCATTTCACAGGACAAATCCCCTTATCGCTCTAACTTTTCCACAGAAACACAGCTTGCAACCAGAAATTAGACATAGTGCTTATTTAGAGCCTTGTGACGTTTTCTTGATTGTAAAAAAGTGTTTTCGCCGGAAAACTGCGGACATGAGGGGATTTTTTCCGCAACATGACTTATTTCACGAATTTTTTGTTTTTGCTTCACCGTGCAAGATCAAAGCCTTCCAAAGTAACATATGGACTTTTCTTGTGCAAGTAAATTCTACAGATTTTTTTTCGGCTAGCTAGCGGCACTCTGCGATTTTCTGGCACCAAACTCAAAATCGCAAAATTTGAAGCCCCATATTCGAGAGCTTTGTTCTTGATGTCCAGCTCACGGAATCTTATGCTTAAACATCCATCATGAAGCGTAAGACTTCTAGTATTTTTAGCATACAAGATTGTGAATTTAGGTTTAGCCTTTGAAAAGTTATTGAATTTTGTTTGAATTACGCAAGAACTTTCGTGCCAACCTAATATTTTGAGCAACAGAAAATTCATGTTTTTTTTGAGAAACATGCAAATAAACAAGGGTAAACAGGGAAGAGGTTTTTTAGAAGGAAATAATCACAAATTCAAATCATTCCAGACTCAAAGGTAGCAGAAGCTAAAAAGTTCAGAAATTTCGCAAATTTCTAGAGATTTTTTTTACGTCGAAGAACGGACGAGAACAATTACAGGAAAATGTCATGGAATATAACGGTAAGAAAACTCTGTCAAAATGATCATCTCATACAAGCAATGCAATGAGTTGTGGATTTTGCAGATTTTTCATAATTGCTTTTTATTTCAAAATATCTGGGAAGGAATTGCTAGATTAAAGTACATGCTTCTTCTGAAGTTCCCTTCTATATCAGCAGATGTGGCATATTTTCATCTTTTATCATTGACCTACTCGACTTGATTGACCTACTTTGATATTTGGCTCGCTTAACACCACTATGTATGAAATAATCATTTTGACAGAATTTTCTCAACGTTACATCCATGACATTTTCCTGTAATTGTTCTCGTCCGTCCTTCCACGTAAAAGCGAGAAAAAATCTAAAAATTTGAGAAATTTCTGAACTTTTCAGCTTCTGCTACCTTTGAGTTTTTGAAATGATTTGAATTTGTGATTATTTTCTTTCAAAAAACCTCTTCCCTGTTTACCTTTGCTTATTTGCATGTTACTCAAAGAAAACATGAATTTTCTGCTGTTGAAAATAATATAGACATCGAGGATATCACGCTTTCCTTAGGCTGATTTCGCACCTCAGAGCGACGAGGTGCAAGAAAAACTCTCGGCAAGAGTTTTAGACGACGAACGTAATTGCTGTACCATCTGCAGCGGCTTTGCCGGCAGCTCCGGTGCTGGCTGCGGCAGCAGTCGGCTGCCCGGGTACCACTTGCACGCCTCCCTCGGTATTAGCACCTGTTTTAGGACGATGGTACACGAAGCGTATACTTGTTATCAAAAAGATACGAAGAAGAACGTCACTCTCAAACTCGGTAAGTTGGCAAATCGTCGTCTATCGACTATGGTTTATCGTGCATCTTCTATACCTTTTTAGTTCAATCTACCTTACACCCACAATGGACGAACAGGTCCGTCCGACTCATCTTTTTTATGACAAACCTCATCTTACCTCAATCAAGCTTTGCTTTAGGGAAGGCAGAGACGAGGACGGAAAGGATCCGTGAGTGAGGCTAAAACACATGACGAAGTGTGCGTACGAGAAAGAAGAGGCAAGGTATTGTCAGCCTTTTCTCAATTGTGCTGCATAAAGAAGTTTCTTGTCCAGGGAAAGGGAAGAAAAAAGAAGTCCGGACCGTCAAAACAGTCTCATGTACGATCTAGAGGATCCAAAGGATCTATCAAATCTAAAAATGTTAGGGGATGCTTATGTCACAGATTTGACTATTCATATGAGTTTGAATCGTTTCAGGGGTCGTCAGGTTCTCTTGTAAACGTCAATAAACTGGTTAGTATACTCTGAAACAATTACTGCACTGTCCGGATCTCTCTAACATTACCATTGTTGTGTCCTTCAATGCTGAAAGAATCCTTGTACTTTGGCTTGAATAGTGGAACTTGCTGTCACTTATCCTCTAATCTGAGTGGTAGATACGAAAGACGCGGATTACTCGACTGTCACTCTTAAAATTGCCGCTGATGTCGATTCTACGGAGGCAGCGTTCAGTTGATCTCGCGCTGCTTTCTAAAATAGTATATATACTCTTTTGTCGACATAATAGAGTTTACCCTTCCCTTACTTAACTTCATTTTACGTCTCAGAGGCCATGCTTTTAGCAGCGGCAACCCGCAAAACCTCGTAAAACTAGAAGCAAAGGCAAAGCGAAGGAAAAGGTAACAGCTTCCGCCTCCACTTCGAATTATGGCACTTTGAGCAGGTAAATTTTAGCGCAAATCGCCAAATAGAGGACAGTTGCGGAAGAAGGGGTCTGTTGAATCACGCAGTGAAGACGATGAGCCAAAGCCCGTTAATGTAAGAAAGGTTCGCTGCAGGAAACGTTCTAACTTAGAGCACTTCTCCATCTAAGTTTAGCAGGGTTTGTCGGCTGAGAACTTGCAACGTGCTATTGCGCTAGTAAATCGACATCATGAAGCTGTACGTAAAAAGGAAGAAGAACGATTGAGCAGAGAACGTTCCCTCGAAGAAGAGCGACGGCGTTTACGAGAAGAGGAAGATGAATTGTTCAAAGCTTATAAGGCTGAAGTAAGGAATTACGTTTTTAGGAGTAGAAACATGGCACGAAAGCAAAAAATTCTGTTATCCTCTCAAATTAGACAAATTGCGTGCTTAGGAAGATGAAGCTGAACGAAGAGCTAGTAAAGAAAGTAAAGAAAGTAAAGAAAGTAGAGAAAGTAATATAGAAAGCAAAGAAAGCAGGGAAAGTAAAGAAGCTTGACTGGTATGAAATTTTCATCAACAAATTAAAAAGCAATTTGTAGCTTTCAGATTGAACAGATCCTATGCATGACACAGCATCAATTAACATTTCGCAAAAATTTTGATCTTTACCTCGCTGTAAATTTATACAGTAGTAATAAAAATGGTTAAGGGTATTTGCAACACCTTTTTTCTATCAACCTCAACGATTGTATTAGTGGTGTTTTTTCTAGGAAATAGAGATCACCAAAAAGAATTTCTAGTTCATTGTTCCGGCATCATTTGCTGAGAGTCCCAAGGCTTCAAACAGCAAAAATTCGTGCTCATAAGAAATGGGCTGACAATGCCAGTGTGGTAGACTAACAGTAGTGACTCAAAATGCAAGAGTTGTGCTTGTATCGGTTGAGGTATTTTTTGGTATGCAACGTTCTTTCGAACCTTCAAAACATGCTCCTATGATTTTTTTATGGCTTCGATTTCTGGAAAGCTGGGATATTTGACTTTATAATTGTAGTTAGGAAACTGAGAAAGGTTTTGTACGAGAACGAAAGTAACTGTTCAGAAGCTCATGAATGATACACTGCAAATCTCTTTCTTAGTTTTGTGAGATACGCATTATTTTGGAGCCATTGTTTCAAACTCCTGGAATTATCTACAACATTTTAGTTTAATACAGTATACTGTGTTCAAATGCTAAGCGTACTAAGCTACGAGGACACCCAAAAGTTGCCCATCAGATTTTATTAAAAGAAAATTGAACTGCTATCTAACATGTCCCTTCTTGTGTTATACATTGTCTTTTAACATTTGTTGCATTCACTGCGCGCCATTGCGCGATCTGTCATCCCTTGTAGCCATTTGATTTATGCGCTGATCGTTTAGTATTCTCTGCACGAAGTGTACGGTGCTCATTATTGAGAGTGTCACCATTATTTACAAAGACTCGTTGCCCATGCAAACGGGATTTGGTTTTAGCTGATGAAGTGAGACCATTTGCATTTTGCAGCGGAAAAGTAGCAATATTTCTATTTCTGGCGTTCCCGGTCTTTCTCCAGGACCATAGGTATAGATCATCCTAATAACTGTTGCATTTGAAATGTTCATCAGTCTGAGCAGTTCTTGTACTTCTCCACCCTCTCTCTCAACCCCTTCCACTCAAGCTCCAATGCCAAATTGTTCTCCGACATCTATCCGTTGATGGCATTGTGTGCGTGATTTGCATGCTCGGTGGCGGCTGTGTGGTTTTGATTTAGTGAAGATGAATGACAAGCGGAGGTCAGAGGTCCGTATGCATCGAAAGACGGTTGTCAGAAGAGAGCGAAGAGGTCAAGCGTGGATTTAATCCGTTGACGTAGGCAGAATATCTGAGCAGGAGGCCACCCGCACCACCAAGTGACAGCAGTGCGCGAATGTGGAAAGAGATCGATGTCATTGTTTGAACTCTGTTTGTCTAGTATCACGAGATATCTGTCAAGTTTGTTAGCTCCATATTCAGTAAGAGCGAAGATTAGCCCTCTAAATGCATGGAGCCATGAATAGCACCCCCTGCTTGTGCTTAGAGAAATATGAAAATTTCTGAGCAAGTAGTAAGGCCGAATTTGGCACCCCCAACTGTATTTGCTCCTGTAGTATGGTGGTAGAGCTACTATGTTATGAATGAATGAGCCAAAACATCTGCACATCGAAAAAACTCTTCTAGGAAACCTCAACCCGAGTATTTTCGGGTATGCAGGTGACTGCCAGACATGGCGTTTTTTGTAAGCTTTGTTAATAGTCTCGTGTTTCCTTCTCCATTCACTCGTTTTTTCAAGCACTAGGGACCAGTCCCCTTTTCTCCAATCGCCTCGAACAGATCATTGTCCTCCCCTGAGTCGGTTCGGTCGCGTTGTTTGTCGTGCGGTCGTGACAAGCCGTTATCGTCGACCCGCTATCTGCGCTGACCTCCCGAAGCACTCGGACTCATCCATCCCCACTTGCCCTCAACCACCCCCCTTTTGCAGTTATGATCGATGATAGGGTCCCTCATTTACAATCGACAGACACCGAGAACAGGCGAGCAGGCACTTCTGATTCGTTCGGCAACTGTCAGAGTGTGATTTTGGTGGAGTTATTTTGAAAGATGTATGTCAGGGGTTGAAATGGGGTTTCGAACTAAACCGTGATGATGAATGGGTTGAAAATGATGATTGTTCAGGAAAAAGGTATCTCAAATGGGTTATGAGTCATATGAGGTGCAGGTTGAGTTTCTCTGCATAATCTTCGATGATCATTTTTTGTCTTAGATCCCCTAAAACAAATTTTTCAGGAGACCTGACATATTATATGGCTTTTGCCTTACCAGACACCTATCCACCTGCTTCGCATTCCTCCATTTACAACCGTAACTTTTACTACGGACCCTTGAAGAACCCCGCAATGTCCCTAACGTATTCCCCGTGTTACATCGCTTTACATGCACTTTGAGTAAAATTGAGAAAACATTTGCGGTTAGACGGGCCTTCTTTACGAAAGAACAACAGCAGCAGCTGTGTACTGACGGCTGCAACGTTATCAGACCATAAATTTCTTAGCTGAATTCTTGTCGGCAGAGTCTGTGTGTGGTAGGTAAGGAACGACGCGTGCGAAATAAAGCAGCGTCGGCACAGAAGCACTTTCTTTGGATAATTTTTCTTTTATCTCTATCTGTCAACGAATTATGTGCTGTATACTGCAATGGGATGACAGTTTTTACTGTGGTGTAGTAACTGATTAGCCACTATAATTCGAAGTACTATTCGCGGTGGTCCTCTCTTGAAGTGTTTGGTGAATGACCACGGAAACATAAGAGACTACAAGATTATCTACAGCTCGGAAAAATAGGGTTTTCTGACGGTACGGCCACAATTCAAAAAGAAATGAACAGGAACAATTCATAAAAAATGAAAAGAGTTGAGAACCATTTGATTAATGGCAATAGGAAACAAGGACAAAGAGGAATGATAGTTTCCAAAAAATATGTTTCTCGAAAAAAAAAACATGCGTCTCCCAGAGACACCCATGTGCCACTTATAGATCCACTTCAGAAAGAATATGATCACAAATGATCACAGTCGAAAGTCTTTTGAGTTGAAAGTCATGGATAAAAAGTGGCAAGAATGGTATTTCTGCGAAGAATTTCTGCAAATTTATGCAATTTGTGGTTGTTTGAATTCAGGGAATCTTTTATCCTATGGAAAATAGTCCTATTTTACAAATATTGAGGAGGAAACCACCGGGTTTGCATATTTTTTGTGTAAGATCACATAAGATATTCTCAAAAACATGGGACTTTACAACTGTTGTTTCTGAAATGAGTTGTTTACGAAGTGAATCGTGACGCTCAAGTAAAGGAGCGTACTGAGGCTATGCAATATGTCAGTAGTTTATTTATTGCGGACTAAATCTTTTCATATGTACCGCAAATTGCACCCAAAAATACGGTAGTTATAGGCGTGCACAAATGCTTTTACACTTTCGCGTTTCACGAGCCAAAAGTGCCAGTCGACAGGAAAAAAGCTACTTCATCATTGGTAAAAAGAAGCCGGCTTGAAAAATGTTAGAATTATGCCTTGATGAAGTGGTTTTGCGTTAGCGATGAAATCTGGGTGCAGAAAAAAAACGCGTAACATTAGCACATTATCTGCAAGTGTGGCACAGTTTTTGTTGAGAAGGTCACACCTAAAAGTGAGAAATGACTCGTAGAGTTTGTGAAGAATGTTCAGTCCTTTGTTCGGATGAAAATTTTTTCGAATGTTGTGAGTTCATGATTATGTTCAGTTTTTATATAAATCGCTCCTAACCTGGCTGCTGTACAACTTCTTGTAAACGATCGTTTGGGTCGTAATAATCCATTTTTGTTCCATGAATCGCTCGCACTATCTCTTGTGAACAAGGTAGTCTAGCTTTGGTTTTTTTTTGTAACACTCCCAGATATTCTGCGCATTCAGAGTTGTATTCTTGTTAAATTCTTGTACCGCACAAATTTTCAAAAATAGGGATGATACCGCTTGAGTCCTATGAAAACTACTTTAAACGCTCACGGAGCTACAAAAAAAACTGTTAAACATGAAAAGCGATTCTAAACTCGATTTTTTTCTCAACTTCATGGATACATGGTGCTAAAGTCATCGAGCAAGCCTACGTAACCAGTTCTGGTTCGTGGCGTCTGTCGAGACATGTCTGCCGTATGATTACCGTATTCTGATGGATTCTATGTACAGGTAAGTTATAGGTTGTTGAAAAACTATAGTATTATTACTAAGTAACGAAATTTTCTCCTAGCATCATATAAATGACAACTAACTGTAACTGAAATATTTCATTTAAGTTTATTTCTTTTCAGTTATCTAATTTTTGTAACTGTACTGTATCGATTTACATTTCGCCAAGTAGAACCATATCAATCAACATTTTACGATCAGATAAGAAATTTATGGGTTGCATTTCAATCAATACGTAATCATATCCCTCGTATCTGGGCAGATTAGAACCTCATTTTGTTGAGAAACCACATCTGTTTGGATTTCAAAATTTTTTACTTTAGATGCAAACTGAGAATGAGGGATTACGTATAAGCCGTCCAATACTTTATCGTTGACCATGACATGTCTTGAAAGTCAAATCTGTGCCAGAGAAACCGAGATTTCTTCTCTTTTCTGTATAGCATGCTCGCAACATGCTCTCTAAAATCTAAAATTTTCAAGTTCACAAATCCTATCTAGGGAGCTGTAGATAATAGTTTTTCTTTTTCCCAACTTGGAAAGTGTCATAATCGTAGTGAGAATCACAGCAGTCCCATGACATTTGACAAAAAAATCCGTCAGATTCTTTGGCAGGTCCGCAAAAAAGTGCGTTCGAAACAAAGTACAGAGTCGTTGCGTGCACGAGATGCATCGTGGCCGGGTGTACTTCTTCGTGCGCAGTAGCTGCTACCGTAAACTTGCAAATTTTTGTTGAAAAGTAAAATCTGCATTACGATAACGGAATCGTATTTTTGCAGACATGAAGCTGGTTTCCCGTTAAGCATATGCTGGAGCGAATGTGTGAGCATAGCTGGTGAATATTAATGTGGCAGGACGGGAGGACTATAGTGTGAGAACTCCTGGAGCTTGATTGATCGATTTGCTATACAGTGGATCCCGGCGAAAGTATGGGGAAGTGTGGGCTTCCAGTAACTTTATTTACCTTATGACTGCAATGAACAAAAAAACGCACCGAAGAACACTGAGTAAAAAAATTTACCTGTGTCACCTTCAAACTGAAATCACTCTATATGGCATAAATTCCAAAGGTGGAATGATATAATATTACCATTTCCATCCATGCTTTCCTGCCAAGCCACTATCCCCCTTATAGAACAAATAACTGTAACAAGGAATAGGAGAAGGAATCAAGATATTTTTCATGGTTTTTACATACTTGTAAAACCTTTTCAGTAGTCTTCTACTATGTATCCCATTTTGCCTCGGGCTATTGGCACCTAAAAGTTTGCAAAAGGCTAACCGGAAGTATGATGCATCATTGAAGAATCCTCATTCGCACCAGATGCATCTTTACCTGATCACCTCAAATGTGATGATTACCAGTTCTTCAGTGTTTTCACATTGATTTTTGCCATTTCAGCTATGCTCACACCCTCCGTATCACCCTAAACCACCCCCACTAGCCCGCTACTGATGCTATACTGACTCATATCACTGCCACGACTCTTTTCCCGAGTCGAAGTCAAGATTTGCAGCTTGGCTCTGAATTATGACTGGTGCAAGGATGAGGCTTGTCATCCGTCAACGCCAACGCCAAGCTGCTGCATTCACGTCCCGGTCACGAACTGCTCGTCCCTTGGGTAAGGCGAGGATGGGGAGTTGTTGAGGGTCATTGTCGAAGTTTTGCTTGGCTATTGTGGATGACGATGACAAGCAAATGGAGTTGTATAAGAGCTGGCTTCAGTGAAAAATGGGGTGGGACATTGGCGAGTAAAGTTCCAATGTGATCTGGTGGCGATGATGTTGGTAGTGTTGGGAGGTGAAGGCGGTGATGATGTTGATGGCATTGATGGTGTGGATGGTGTTGATGGTGTTGATGGCGTTGATGGTGTGGATGGTGTTGATAGTGTGGATGGTGTGGATGATGTGGATGGTGTGGATGGTGTGGATGGTGTTGATGGTGTGGATGGTGTGGATGGTATTGATGGTACTGGTAAGTAGTGTTGGTGGTGATGGTGTTGATGGTAGTGATGAGTTGATGATGGTGTTAGTGGGGCCAGTGGTATAGTGGTAGCGCGTCCTAAAACAAGCTTTTACCTCTTTTTGTTGTTTTACTTTTCAATTTCAATCTAAAGACATACCCAGACCTTCATAATTTCTGTCTACAAAGTTTTCACCCCTTCTTGTCACTGATGTTGGCTCACTATCACAAGAAAAGGGCATTTTTGTGCAAAAGGCTTTGGTCAGATGAGAGAACGCCGCCGCGGCTTTGTGTGAAGCCGCCAATGGCGCTACTATATCAACGCGATGAAAAGTTGCCAACGCACGCGGGAAGCGGGGATTTTATTGGAAAGATTGAAAAATGGATAGGATTCGAGGACAATATTGAGAGAAGAAAGAGGCTGGGGAGGAGATTTCATTTTGAAGGGAGGCTTTGGCAAAAGGACTTCATTGTACGAAATTTTGAGAACATTTATTCACAATTTACTCAGTTGGTATCTACTTATATCAATACGATTTCATCACATTCCTTTGACACACAGCTTCGTATGAAACTAGCTAAAACTTGACTATCTAATTCACTCATATTTTTTGATCCATGATCAATGTTCAATTGTTATCTTCGACAATTTGTAAATTGTGAAGCAGTACAGTCGTTTGTTTGCAAACTGGTTCAAAGTTCTCCGTGCAATAAATCTGAAAAATAGCGCATTAACTTGGCCACGGCTCATGATTTATTATAACGACTTAGATAAACTCGCAGAAGACATTAATTATGAGCTTTAGGCATTCCTGGAGTGAACGAGGTTGAGGTGCGAGGTTTTTTTCTCAGCATTCATACAAATTTTATAAGTCAAACGTCAAAGTTATATGCGCAATTCTTTTGGAGAATTTTCCATGAAATAATGCGTATAGAATTCTTTTCTTCGTGATAAAAAATTGCATTTTTTGGTGGAAAAATATCGCTCCTGCTCATAAGGGCGGAGAGAGTTTGTTTTTATTTCTACAATCTCGCCTTTTGAAATCTAAATGTATAGACTATGTTCATTATTCTTACTGTTGGATAGAAATCGTTGAGAATAGAGAATGTTAGTAATGTCTTAGAATGCAGCTTTAATTTGGAATGTTACGGGTTTTCGCGTGAACAAAAATGTTTGTGTGTTAATCACTATGTCCTTTCATCCTAAAATTGTCCTTTGCAACTCAGTAGATTACGAAAATCTGCAGAGCAAGTGAAATGAGTTTGTTGCCGGGGCGGACTAAATTGGATTCAATCAACAAAAGACTTCCTAACGATCGCTAACGAGCCCAATAGACACATTTGAGAAGTTAGACGCTCCGAAGAAAATCCATATGAAACATGAGAGAGCGCCAACAAATCAACTTTGTTCATACTTTAACGATGTTGTTCCGCTGGAATTGCCCGCTCTTTTTCCCGCTTGTACTTCCATTGCAAAACTATTTGCAATCTTTCGAACAAGTTTTGCACGAGCTCGGTGGCACACGAGTTTTGTCGTGCCGATTCCATCGGATCAAATCTTTCCAGCAGATCAAAGCCCTACATTAATCTTTGTCTGTGTACTCCTCGATTACTACGCTCTCTACGGGTACTCTGACCTGCCCGAGGAGCGGCGGGACTCTATGACAAATCGCACTATTCGCCTGATAAATGATCTGTATTCCAAACCCCTCCTTCACTGATAGAGAGCACCCCGAAAGTGGAGTGCGCAGACATGGCTAGAGTTCGCTTAGCGAATGTGCACTTTGATGGAGGGTGCTAGAGAAATTTGCCGAGAGAGTGTAACACTTGTGAGAGCGCAGAGACGAAACGAGCGAAAGATGCAGAGAAACTGGGAGAGTGCAGCCGGGTGGCTCCGCCTCTGAGAAGCAGGCCGAACGAGAGGAGTCGTGGTGGTGCAGGCATTGTGTGGGCCACGGCATCTTTCGACTGTATAATTCCAAAAATCCTCTTTGCTCCTGGCTACTGATCAATTATCGATTAGTATTGATTCGAGGATGAAGTCCGTATTGTTGCTGTGTTCGTTGTTAGTCGTCGTTTCGAGCACAGTTCCGAAATTTCGCGAGAAGAAACCGCGATGCGAACGGATCGACTATGAATTATGTCGTGATCTACCGTATAATCTTACTGGGTGAGTGAAACTTACGTTTTTTACTCATTTTTTACGGCTTGTTTTGTTAGATGGGAAAAATTACATGGTTAGCATGATTTTACTCTATAATCGTTGACAATAACTATTGCGGTTTTTTGACCTTTTCCTACCCATTTTATTTCAACAATGCTGAAAGTGGCAGAAAATTGAGGTAGCTGCCGTCCCTCACTTTGCACTTTAAGCTGCACTCCATGTCTTGATAGTCGCAACGTCTTTTTTGTTCCTCTCTCATTTTCTTTGCGCTCTCATTGTCTTCAGTAGCTGCCTAGCGGTTCTAGGGCGGCAGGCATTATGCCAAAAATGCTTCCGCTATTGCTTCTAAATTGCTGAATAAGCAGCTCGACCTGTCATCCGTCTCATGACTTGCTCTTTCAATTCAAGATGTCCGTTCTATGTGCCAAATGTGGGCTTTCGCAATTCTGTTGTCTATGATTTGCCCGCGATTCAACTAAAGCCGGAGAAACCAAATTAGTCTCGCTTCATGCTTGCAGCTGAGCAGCCCGAGAGGAGGGGATTGAGAGTGTTGAAGATATGGGTAAATCTGTGAAAAAATCGTTAAATTTTGGAAATCTTACGTAACGATCGAAACGCACAAACTCGCACGATTCGGGTGTTGGTTGGATGGTGTGGTGGTGGTTGTGCTAGTGTGCTGGGGCCCCGAAGTGTGACAAATGACCAGCAGTCGGCTCTATCTCTTATAAATCTCAAGAAAAGACACACAGGCTGTGAGAGAAAAGAGAATCATGTCTGTGAGAAGACAAAAATTACGTTACAGCGATTTTGAAGAGACTTCGAGGGAGACAAAATGTGACAACGGCGACTTCGTCTTGACAGTTTCTTCATTTTGTCGCGCCGTGGCCGAGTTTTTGCAACTTTTTCGAGGGCAAAAAGATCTTAAAATCTGTCCTATAATTCGTTGCAGAAGCGGTGTAATCATCATCTGTTCATTCCACAATGTGCATAAGTAGCTTGAAGCCTTTGCCGGGCGGCTGGTCCTATCGTTTGGGTCGCTGATAAGGCCTATCTAAGCCATAAAAGTCCTTCGTGACACTGCTTTGGATCCCACGACACACAGCATATACCTCATGGAACGTGGGTGTGAGGGCAGGTTGCAAATAATTTTAGCTAGCCCTCAGTTAGGTAAAAAAAATGCGTCTAAGGGCCTCATTCGGCGCAGCAGTGTTCGTAGCCTACGGGGCCGGGCAAACTTTTTTCTGGAGAGGATTTTTTTCCCAAAAATGGGAATAACCTATGGTGACGTTTTGATTAAATGCTAGTACACTTCATGTCTGATGTAGAGAGACCGTACGAACGACGCAACGTTGACGAGCAAGGTCATTTGTAACGTAATATCTACGCTCTGCGCGCATAAACATGAGAAGTTTTGCTATAATGGTCTTCTCTTTTTGTCTGCAACAGTTTTGTTGAAAAATGACTGAGTAGTGATTATTTGAGTAGTGATGAAAAAAATGGTACTGGTCCTGATCTTATGTTAGTCACTCAAGGTGTGTCCCATCGTGCTTTTTATAAGAAGACAAGCGATTCGGTAAGTTCAGCACGCGACGAAATGTTGGAAATGGGCAGAAGAAAAATTGTAATATCATGTTTCATTTTCTTTTGCACCGACATTACAGTAATGGTTCCGGTTTGCCATTTTTATCGCGAACTTCACGTAACAAATTGCATAACCGTCCTTATTGCATTTTTACTTTTTCTTCCTATAATTTTTCAAAGGAAAAAAATCTGAGAGGAACATGTTTTGGGATTCCCGAAATTTTTTCTCTAACAACTCGTTATTACTGCGTTTTTTTTTCTAGAGCTTCCCATTCCAAAAGTTTTTGAGAGCTTTCCTTGAAACTTGTATGGCAACCACAAAGAAGGAATAAATTTTCAATACCAGGAAATCAACCTTTTGCTTTCACTTTATAAGAAAAACATCTTATTTGTAAAAAGATGGCTTGCATGAAAAGGAATAAGAAAATAATGTATTTGACAACCTTACCATCTAAAAATTTCCTTATTTACTTTCGAAAATATCTGAGACTATCTTACAGATCTCTTCTTTACACTCGAAATCTATTCAATATCTTCACCTTGCAAAAATTTCCTCATTCGCTTATGCTTATTTCGCTCAAATTTTTTATATCAGTATGTTGTTTGAGATGTTGATGTTTGTTGCTATAGTTTCTCTAGAATATTCAACATCGACATGATCATTACCCACATTCGTGTGCTTTCTCCGCAAAATTTTACTCCTAAAGAGTTTTGGTCCCTTAGTACCCTTTCGCTGCACAGTAGCATTGTGCCCCATATCTTCTCATTATCAAGTAATCAGTAACGCTAGTTGTACTGTTTACATATTGGGGCTGTACAGTAGCCACCGATGCGAAAGTTATCAGCCGCTGTTATGTTGCGATTCCCACGGATTACACGATTAGCGCGACATTTTGACGCTTGATGCGCGATTTTGCGACGTGATACGATCAGCGTGCTATAATAAGTACTGTTATAAAGTAGGCATTACTATCCGGAGAGGGAAGGAGAGGATAAAGGAAGAGAATGTTTTTCCTTTGATTACTGCTGACGTTTGGATGATCGCAGCATAAGCATTTCTGCTCATTAACCAGCCGAAAATCTGTGGTTTGGAAGGGATTTGCGCGCAAACAAACCATTTTTTTCAAAAGTATAGAAGCCATTTGATTTGATTCACCTTAGGCCTCGGAGACAGAGTTCACGCGATTTGATCGTCGCGATTTTCATTAATTTTCATTTTACACTCAAAAATTTCGAGCTGGAAAAGATCACAATTGAAATGCAGGCTGATCGGCATGCAATGAACTCGTAACGGTTGTCTTGTAGCGATTGAATCGCGACGATTAAATCGCATGGACTCTGTCCGCGGCCTTATACGGAGTACCAACGATCATTATTTTATTTGTTAACTTAAAAGGAAAGTATCATTCAAAATACCGACCTGTCATAAAACGGTGAACATGACCCTGTTCTCAAAATCTGCTGAATGTTTCGAGAAGCCATGCACCTTTTTTATTACAGTTCGGACGCACTTCAGACCAAAATTTTTTTAGCATACAATGTGAGGAAGATACATTTTCTTCTAAATCTTGACTTCACTATTGATTTCGAGCCCTAGTTACATAATGGCCAATATATCATCCAGCCTTGTGCCACAAATTTTCCTCGAAATGTTCAGCAGTTTTTGCAGTTTCTTCTAGAACAGTCATACACTCCCAGGACTATGAATCCTATATCGAATATTATCATCCTTGAAATTTATGTTCGCAAGAAATGCTATAATCACGATATACAATTGAACTCTTGGCAGGAAACTAATTATTATTTGTTGAGTTATATTGTTTTTAGCAGGAAACAAGCGTAAAAATTTTGTTGAGTCATACGGGTTTTTAGTTCTTCTTTTCGCTGCCTTCTATGTATGCACCAACTTTGTGCTTGTCTTTCTAGCTTCCCTGATTACTCAAGCTCTTTTGGACTTCTTCTTGCTATGGAGTACAGTTCCTAGCAACTACTGAGTTCTGAGTTACTAAAATCACAGAAATCTAGAAAAGTTCTTTACCATGAGCGAGATATGTGCTAAAGTTACCTCTTTCATTTTTTTCTTTTAATTCTGCTCAACTCATTTTCCCCTGTTGCTTCCAACGCTGTACAGAAATATGTCACCTACTGCACAGCAGTGCTGCTAATCATCTGCAAGCCGTCTGGACTAGTTGTGCGAATGAGGTGTGATATTAATTGATCGCCTCGTTTATTAGCAACTCTCTCTCACCACACGATGGCCATTTCGTGACCGTTTTATGTGATTGCAATGAGCTGAAGGGTGTCGGGGGCAAACGCGCAGTCCCACGCGAAATGATGAGCTGTAACAAATTATTGCTGTTGTGTGTTCATTTATCGTTTTCTGTGCAGCTAATGCATGGAAAAAATGAAGCTAATAATTGGATTAGGCTGTGAGGATATGCTACTCTGTAAATAATCATGTCATAAAAAATCTGCTGCTGGAAAATTTCAAGGTACAATTTTTCATGGATATCCAATGATCCCCCCCCCCATCCATATCCATTTACATGAATAAGAAGTAGATTTGGTACAATTTGGTGTTGTTCAGCCTGTACTTCGGCTGTTTTTAATGTTCGGTATGGTAGGGTTACGGTAGAAAGGCGCTCAGCTTCGGGAGAACCCTGCCTTGACGAAATCCTACTGTGAACTATATCACTTACCAAACAATTTAAGACATCGTGGTGCCCGGTTACTTTTTATGTTCGGATACGGTAGGTTTACGGTAGAAGTGCCTCAGGCGGGGACCTAATTCAACGAAATCCGACTGAGAGCGACATCAGTTACGAATAACCACCAATGATATTGCTCATCATTTCGTGGCATTCAGCTACATTTTATGTTTGGTTACTGTAAGGTTACGGTAGAGAGGTGCTTAGCCTTGAAAGAACTCTCTTCCGTAACGAAAATCCAACAAGAACGACAGTGCTAATAACGAACATCCACTAATGGAACTTAACCCAACTTTCTGTGTAGGAGTACGGTAGGGGTACGGTAGAAAGGCGCTAAGCTTTGGGCGGGAACTCCACTGTAACGAATCTTAGTCTGAACGACGTTGCTCCCCTAACATCTACTTTTATGGCAGTGGCCATAGGTATGAATGCCGCCAATTCCTCCTTCGGACTACTGGTCTCTTCGCACATGCTATTGCTTACCGCATGAGAAACAGTAGTCCGCGGCGGCATTCAACGGGGAATCCGTTCTCCTAGCCCGTAGAAAACCTCTAGATCGAGACTATGCTTTTCAATCTTTTAATCTTCTATGAGGGTAGCAAGGTCTAGAGCATAATTTTTTGCTATAGTCGTGCAAACTCGTCCGAAAATTCGGCTGACCGTACGCGCACACATGTGTGTAACCTCATGAAGTGTCTGCATTAGCATCTCAGCACCAGCAGCAGCAGAGCCCGAGGAAGAAGAGGACGATGTGATTAATTATGATACGACACGCAGGCCGAGCGCGAGGCCAGCCGTCCCAAGGCCCGCGCACATCGTTCCAGAGGAGGAGACGGACGGGGGTAGAGAGAGAATGTGTGTGCGTCTTGCTTGTGCCTCTCTCCGCAGCCCTCCAGTGATTTATGGGCAACTTGCCATTGTGACAACCTCGGCTATCGATTGGAATACAAAGAGTCGCGAAATCGCGCGCAAGAACAACGAATTATGGTTGTTGTTGTGGAGATATTTTACGCGAACACGTAACTTACTCGAATGGGTGGCTCTATTGAAGGTTGCGAATTCTGGGGGAGCTACCGTAATCGCCGTGGTCGCAAGGCTCTGTGTGAGGCAATTTACGTTGTTGTTAACGACCGCGCTTAAGTGTCTACGATGCATCGGCGGCGGCGAGCCGAATAAACCGCGGTTACGAGCTCGTTCATTGCTTGATCGCGCTAATTAACGACATTTGGGTAAAGGTTACGGTAGAACGAGTATACGGTAGCCCTCCAGATTCAAGCTGCTTTTGAAGCAGTTACTGTTCTATTGGATTTTTGAAACAGGTATATTTGGCCTTCCAACTTGGCGTCTTCAAGCTCAAGTGAGTCTACCTACCGTATCCTTGCAATAGGGGTACGGTGGGTTGGAGCTTTTCGGAACTTTTTTTTTTGTTTTTGCGCAAGTACAGACTACTATATTTTTGACAAGAGAGTCAGTGGTTTTGTAATATCATGAGCTATTCAATTTACTCGAGACATTAACTTGATCTGTGAGCCTGCACACAACGCGCGGCAGCCGACGACATTTTACGGATAACTCGTCAATCTTACGCTTTCTAGCGAAACAAACTGCGAAAACGTGTACTACTATCCAAATAATATCCAGGCAAACCAATAAGAGACGAAAACAAAGAGAAATTCCAGGAAAACACTAGTTTCAGTTCTACAAGTCGTGAAGTAGCGCGTGTGATGTGCAATATGCACATTAAGTTACAATTGAACTAACGAACACTTTTGTAATGCAAAATTTTGGTAGAAATCCTAAAATCACAACAAACACATCTAATCTGTCCTTTCTGAATGCCCTGATCCACCAGAGCATTCCTGCGCAGCGCTTTTGCGCTTTGAAAATGTTACAACTAGCCGCGCGTAACTCGAATTTAACTCGCAACTCGGCCTATAATTAATGGTGGCTCTTTGTTCGGGTTGTCGTGTTGAGCGTATGGTGCAGCCATCAATCAAAAACCGCGTATACAATAGACTAAGAACAGCCGTGAGACGCGCGACGAGGGTCCTCCAACGTGCTTGCGTGCGCGCCTGAGAGCCCGCAGCTGGCCGCCAGAACAGCTAGGGAGTTAGCAGCTTCTTGTATCACTATAATGAAATGAATTTTTCAGATTCCCCAATCTAGCCGGTGAAGAATCCGGACGAGATGCGCAGGATACATTGGCATCCTTCCAACCGCTTATCAATAGTCAGTGCAGCGAGCAACTACGGTTTTTCCTGTGCTCTGTGTATTTTCCGATGTGTAACGAAAAGGTAAATTATCCCTTTGCCAAAAGAATATCTTCTAAAATGTGTTCTTTTCAGATTCCTCAACTCATAGGCCCTTGCCGACCGTTGTGCGAGTCCGTACGAGATAAATGTCTGCCTTTACTGAAGGATTTTGGATTTTCGTGGCCAACACAAATTGACTGCAACAAGTTCATATTGGGTGAGTTACCATTCCGAATATTTTACGCGTAAGAGAGCCGATTTGGGAGGGATCTTGCCATAAAGGGGGGAGGTGGCTTTTTTATCTGTGAAGCAAGCATGAATCTCTCGTCAAAAAGAAGAATATCTTGAGTTGGAACTCAACAATTGTATTCATGGGAAGCGCATATGAGAGAAGTGTAGCGAAAAAAGGACGTGACTTGGGCACTAAAATCAACATTTTTGTGAAAAAAGGGGCGTGGCTTGGGCTACAATTATTTACTCATTTATACAACCAGAAAAAGGAAGCCACCAGTATCAAGCTTAGATCAGATTGTTCTTTGATCGAGAGATATTTCAACACAATTTATCTGTATGGCAAGCGTGGGAGGGTTCCTGTCAAAAAGGGGCGTGACTTGAGCTACGATAACATTTTGTCTCTGTACGAGGGTGAATGTGAAGGAATTGTACAGTCAAAAGAAGGCGTGGCCTCAGTTACGACCTAAGTGGAGCAACTTTTCTCGAAAATGGATTTCATGAGAGCAAGTGTGTGCAGTTCCATTACTCACAGGAACCATTTTTAGGACATTTTATCTACTATTTTTGTGTCTATTTGAAAGACCGGCTTGATGTTTACCCATCTACATGCATCATGTTTACACTTCCAGAAAACAACAATGAAGATATGTGCATGCGCGGACCAAATGAGGAAGGTGTGATTGCTAAAACACCGGAGGAAGAAAAAGAAGATTGTCCACCTGAGCATATTTATGTAAATCGTAGTGGCCGTTGTATACCCATTTGTGCTGCTGGTCAGGGTATAAAACAGGTAGGAGAGTTCTCTCGAGATCTTGACAATGTCATATCATTTTTCATGTTATTATAGAGTGACAGAGAATCTGCCTCCACTGCTCTTTTTGTTCTGTCAATCATCAGTTTGGTAGTGACAGCCATATGCGTTTTGACATTTGTCATGAGGTGAGGCACATTTTTTTCGAATTCATGACATCCTTTTTCGTTTTTTAACCAAATTTTAGACGTCACTGTCTCACGGCCTTACCGGAGACGAGTTTACTGTGGACAGCGCTTTCATTTGCGCTAAGTTCGATTGTCTACCTCTTTAGTCTGCTATACCGGGAACAGGTAGGACCTCAATTCCCAGTTTTGATTCAAAAAAATATTGTTGATTCTAGATCTCATGCACTGATTATTCTTCTCATCTCCTTTTCGTTGTCGGTGATTTCCCTCATACTCCATGTGCTTGTGTATCTGCTCTTTTGTACTACTTTGGAACGGCGGGCCGTTTATGGTGGTTGGTACTTTGCTGCACTTGGAACCAGCAAACGACAAGATCTGGAAATTTGGTAAATTTGAAGTTTACTTCAATTTGAAGTTTAAAATATTTTTTCCAACGTTTTAAAAAATTGGTTCAGGAGAAATATCGCGCTCAAATTCAAATGCTTGCCTGGGCCTCGCCACTGGGTTTGGTACTGTTTGCCCTCATGGCAAGAAGCACTGGAGCCGACCCACTAAGCGGAATTTGCGTAGTAGGAGCTGCTAGCAGGGTGAGAAGCAGATACTCATACTATCATGGTTAATCGTAATTTTGAAATTTTCTCTAGGTGTTGGACGGAGTATTCAATCTTTTCCGTGATCTAGTCTTCGTTATCGCCTGTTGTATACCGTTACTCGTCGGCTTCCGGGTAATGCTCACAACTCCGCAGGCGAATTATGGCACGGGTCTTGAAGGAGCACTTTACCCAGCTGCTGCAATATTTTACATGTAAGTCCAAATATTCGCTCTTGTCGATGGTTAATCACCGTATACTCACAGTAATTACAGGCTTGCCTTTGTCAACGATGCTTGGCAGCCAAGTTTGCATTGGACTCATAGTTGGAATGTTGTGTCTGCAATGAGGATACTCATTGACCCAATCTTAGGAGTTCTGGCAGCTTCGGCTTGTCTTTTGCATATCATAGTGAATCTATGCCGTGCTATCAGGTATGTAGCATTTGTTAAGAATTTTGCATTGTTATTTCTCAAGGGCTTAGAATTGCAATTTGCAAGAAAAATGTCCTTTACATTAAACTTCGTCTAGGACTGAATTTCGTTTTTTTTCTCTCGCACCATTATCTGGAATCTTTTCACCCTGCAAAAATGATCTGATCATGATCTGCTACATTTTTTGAAACTATTATGGTCAAAACTTTACTCCTTCAAGACCACTCTACTGGTGGCGTTCCGAGAAATTTTTGCTTGGGGAAGTGGGAACTAGTGCTTTCCACAAGTTTTGCGCATCTGTAACCCCGAAAATTTTTTCGAAGCTGTTTTGGATTTTGAAAGTTACTAAGAAAATTGTTCGAATTGACTACAAGTGAGAACAATCCAATGCTCCAACAATCCAACAATCCAATTTTACAGTTCATGTAGTCCGCTTCGAAAAATTTCGCGACCACTTTTTGGGGGAGGGGGATCCACCACTGGCATATACGTATTGTTTATCTGATAGTACCACGTATCCGTATGTTTATCTGATGCTGCAATAAAATCACTGGATTGGGTTTCGTCCATAAAATCATTGAAAGATATCCAGAAATGAAAATAAGCTTACTGTGGGGATACTGTAATTACGCAGCACGAAAAAACCTCATCTACGTTCAAAAATGAACAGTTTTCAAGGCTGTGGCAAGTCTGAAGCCCTGTAAATTCGAGAAAATTATCGTGAGAAACTATCTGAGTTTTCATGAAATCAGAAGTTACTCAAATTTCTGTTGGAAAAATTTTACAATTTTTCAACTCATTTAAAACTTTAAAAGATTTTGGTTTCCATGATGTGGGTAAATTTAATGATGGTGTACCTTTTTTACTTATTGTAATCCTCTATAGGAAAAGAGGCGAAACAGGCTTCATAGTAATTTTTCGTTTAGATTGTTTATTTCCAATGCTTATTTCAAAATATTTTTTTTCAATTTGAATGCGTATCACTATAATTGACATTATTTTTTCGATTTTTCAGATCTCCCGTAGCTGACAAAAATGGCTATCAGCCGGCCGTTCCACGCATTCCACAACCGGCTATTCCAGTCAGCGTTCGTTCGCACAACACCTATGCTACAACCACTCAACGATTGCCAATCTGCTAGTGATCTCGTCATGTTCACTCATTTTATTGTCTTATTGATTTATTGATTAGTGTTCTGTTCCGGCATTGACATGACATGTGTACATAGTATTATCCGTAATTTATATATGTTGTGTGTGTATTTCTATGCTCGTGAGAAAACAAATGGTGCTTTTAATTTGCTTCATTGACGCATGCAGAGTTTTACCTATGACGTCACTTTCGGATCAATAAATGTTTATATGATTTTTGCAACATCTGGTGTTCTTGATTGTTGCTCGCATATAAATCAGTGCAAACATTACAAGATTGGCAGGTCCACAGCAGTGGAATTGTAACTCGTCCACGTATTGCTCGCCCCACCCATTACCAACCAGCCAATCATAACAGCAAGTGACCAATCACGTGCCGCGAAGCTATGGTTAGTCCTCACAACTGTGGAGGTGTGCAAATGTCTCTCCAACAATTATTTTCTTTCTGAAACTTCCAAAAGCCATGTGAAAATAGGATTAAAAATCATAATTCGTATAAAAGGGAAAACTCGAAAACGAATCGGGTCAAGGATACAATAATGTTTTGTGACTTTTGGTCCCAACACGACCAAAGCGTTCAGTCTTTCTCCATGTTCCAAGCCTGTGGGAGAGAGCGAGAACTGGTCTTCAGAACTGTTCTACTGCTCTTTTATTGCGGATCTTTCTTCGGTGGCCTGGAGTTTCCTATTCATGCTTTTTTTCTCGTGATTTTCTCAATTTACACATCTATAAACCAAAAAACTTTATTAATCATCAAATTTTACATCAAATCACTGCTAAACGAAAATCAAAAAATGAGGCGAGAAAGTGCCGAAGTTGTACGTAGAGAGTGACTGATGGGTTTTGTTAAAGATTTATCGTTTGAGGAGTGCATTACGGGCCTTAATTTGATAAATGTTGGGCAGGAAGTTAGATCGTCATCGTATCGTCTCGATCTTTTCTACACAGTACCTGAAAAAGAAAGAATTATGGGGAGCTCCGCCCATTTTGCAGAAGTTGCATACCATGAGATGTCGAATCTTAGGTCCATCTAAAACCATCACACGACCATCGAATCCAACTTCAGCTCGTTCTTTTTTCATGTTCACACTTCCTGCGAGCAATTGATAATCAATCAATATCAATCAATATACGAAGCCTTACCAAGTAATTCGAAATTATCGGTTTTAATAACGCATGGAGCTACATAATTCATGTGTACCGGTGCAAAATCCTTATCTTCGTAACGCACCGCCTAGAAGTCTTAGTCAATTACTGTATTCATCAAGATACGCAGTTGCACAAACCTGCTCATACGGTAGCCAGATGTACTCAAATCCGGCTGCAGTTGCTGGTAGTTTGACGAGCATTTGCATGGAGCCGATAATCTTCCCGGTAAATTCGTGGTTGGAACTGAAAACTCGGGATGATGCATGCGCGACAACACTCGACGGACTATAAACGCACTCTACAAATGATGCGTTGATATTCCCGTTATCGTTCCATGCTCGACCCATCTGAGGTCTTCCATGTCGGTACCAGAGTGCGACATATTGATCCTGTGGTCCATTTGGGGTATTCATTGGACGATCCAGTGCTTTCATTATTGGTCTAAAGTCGTTTACTATTTTAATCAATACATATAATATGCATTAGCGCCAAAAGTCGCACTTGTCAACTGGCCATGGATTTCCGCAGCAAAAGTCACCCCAATCGTTTACCATCAACGGCCTTTGTGATGCATGCTCCTCGCTTTCCTGAATCAGGCAATGTTGGTTTCAATCAATAATCGATCGAAAGTAAATCATAGAGCTCACAGAGCACTTTTCGCATGAACATCCAGGTGGACCGCCGCTCAAATTCCGTATCAGCACAAGCATGTTACCAAGGGTTTTTGAATCAGTTACCTAGAAAATTCGAGTTATCGTGGTCCCGCAGCGCAATATCGATTACGATACCTCAAAATAATGGTCTCCAATGGCAAATGTTGCCTTGTGCTCTGCGATGTAGTAGTTTCCAAGCACAGCTTTCTCTTTCCAAAATATTGGTGCCACCATACCATATTGGAGCTGTTCCCGCTTACCATTTCTTACTAACTAAATGAACTATTTGATGTCTGCGTCTCTAACTTAGGGTCCCATTTCTCTCTATCTTACCTTCCATTTTGATAGAGCTAACCATTCATAGTAGAAGTTATTTGTTACATGATTTCCTTTGTATATAAGCAACTGTATGTTTCCGCCTTCGACATCGGGACCTTTGTAAACTTTGTGATCTGCCGCGAAAGCACACTGTAATCAATATCGATCGATAACTGGAGGTTGTTGGCAGGACTTAAGACGGCCAATCAGCAGCTCTTTGCGTCTGCAGTTCTGATTGGTCTGCCACGCCTTTTTTTTTCACGCTTACCTGCACAACCCCGCTATCGTTCCACGCTTGACCCATGACTGGTCCACCTTTATGTAACCATAGAGCCACATACATATTTGGCTGATTTATCACTCTGACGGCATTCTGCGGAAAGTTTGTGTGAATTCGCTGCACCATCCATGTGTCCTCCTTCTGGAACAGATGACCGATCCTACATCCAGTAGAGATATGGCTTCGAGGTCGGCACCTTCTTGTTGACCATCCCGTGATGCTACAAGTTGACTGTGCACAAAAGTAAGAAATGAAACTGACTTGAGGGAGAGATGTTGGTGAGATGAGAAGTTATTGTGATGAGAAGCTTGTTTTTTTTTGATAGCGCTTTCAACATAGTTAGGTTCAGTAAGATTTGGATGCTGGCTAAATGAAGTTGAGGCATACATATAAATTCGGCTTTTTGGATTTTTTAGTGGAAACTGATTGGAGACCTTGATTGAGCCGTCGCTCATGCGCTACCTCATAGAATTTACTCGTACTCGAGAATTCAAATTTAAACTTCCACCCTGTATCGTAATCTTTGCTAGCGAGAAAAATCAGTCATGTACTGCTTGGAAGATAGGCCAAAGTTGGATTTTTGATCACATCATATGAACTTCGCTTGCAATATAAGTCAAAACTTCTTTAACGGCATCCGCAGAGGAAGTTTTGATATAATCAAAATAATCAGATATGCCTGAACACTACCTTTAAGAAAATCTCACAACGGCTTCTCTGACCATGGGTATCTCACTTCCTCATCTTCTTCAAACATCATCGAAAAAACGGACGGTGTATGCCGCTGCTTCTCTTCTGCTCTGAATTTCCCTATGATTCCAATTCTAGCTGCTAGCACTACGTCAAGGTCCGAAAAAAACTGGTACCGGCTTGGCACAAAGGTGACTTCGAATAACCTGTGACAGTGGCGTAGCGAGGGGGGGGGGGTGGGGGCGCGCGCGCGCCCTCCCCGAGAATGGTCGCGAAATTTTTGAAAGTTACTTATATGAGTCATAAAAATGTGCAAGAGACTTATTTATACTTGTAAGTAATTAAAATAATGTTTTAAAATTTTGAAAAATTCAATTTAGCATTGAAAAATTTTTTTTGTCGCCCCCCCCCCTCCCCCCGAGCCGAAGTCCTGGGTACGCCACTGACCTGTGGATATCGTTTTTCAAGGGGAGAAGCGCAACATATACTGTAAAGAAAAAATCCTAGAAGTCCTTTTAATAATGAGAAAATTCTGACTGCCACAAGGAAAGCTGCTAGCTATGCAGGGTCTGAAATGATTTTTTTACCTATAGTCTGTCTCCCTTATTCCAAAACTTGTTCACAACTTCGATAATAAAACCGTGACCTCAAAATTCCGCTATGTTCATTGACAATCATTTATTTGAGCTTTCGAAGCTGCAAATAGAGATATGTAATTGTCTAAGAACACAGGTCCATTGAGTAACTACGATTCACCTTTTGTAGCTTTTTGGACTAAGGGTATAGTTGCATGGGTTCTTGCTATGGCACGTTCACCATGAGAGATTGAACACATCAAATTTTTACGAGATACATTATTTTGCAGACGCAAATTCTACATTCCTCAGAATCCAGAGATAAGGTGCTAAATTCACGATTGTTATCCATACAAAATCTGGATGCCGACTGAACAGGTTAGTAGTGTAGTCTAGCCTCTCCTCAAAAGCATGTTTTGAAGCAACGGATGGCATACCAGGTAGAAAATTATCCTTTCTATAAAGGTGGCAGCCAATGTACGGACAAACATCAAACTGAGTATGAGGATCATGCACTTGCGACCCCCTCCCCCCCTTAGTCGCTCCCCCCCCCCTCATTCCACTCTACATGATATCCGATAATTTGCCCTCGGTACATTTTCTGTAACACTTATTAAACTCTTTATAAAGGAAAAGGAGTACATCAACCTTACTGAGAGGAACAGGACAGATTTTGCGATCCATCCATTCAATTCACACTTAGGGCCGCATGCACTAACATCCCCGCGGGGAGGGGTTTGCAGCTCAAAAGAAAGCTTTATATTTCGAAACTCCAGATACCTGGATTTCACGTTGTGTACCTATCCGTAAGTATTCCTACTACCCTTCACTATGAACATGTTGAAGAGGAGCGAGAAGCTGTACGAACCGCATTTTCCAGCTTTTGTACGATCCCTGATGATCCCCGGCGCTTTTCTTTAAAGTCATTTCTTTTCTCCGAAGTTAACGAAAAACCTCCAAAGTTGTGCAGATTATCTAACCCGACAGTGCTAAGCATGTTGCTGATAAGAACAAATGATGTTTTGAAGTCATGAAATTTTCGATGATCCACAGGTCGAAATTTGAGGTTTACCGAAAAGCGAGAAGCTGTACAATTTTTAGCTTGAAAAAAAACTTTTCAAAAACTCATTTGTTCTCATCACCAACATGCTTAGCACTGTTGTGTTAGATGTTCAGTACAACTTTGGAAGGTTTTCGTTAACTTCGGAGAAAGAAAAATGATTTTAAAGAAAAGCGCCGGGGATCATCAGGGATCATACAAAAGCTGGAAAATGCGGTTCGTACAGCTTCTCGCTCCTGTTCAACATGTTCATAGTGAAGGGTGTAGGAATACTTACGGATAGGTACACAACGTGAAATTCAGGTATCTAGAGTTTCGAAATATAAAGCTTTCTTTTAAGTTGCGATCCCCTCCCCAGCTGGGAGGTTAGTGCATGCGGCCCTTAGTCTGTTCCTCTCAAATATACCAATTTCAATCTCTGCTCAAACGACTCTCTCTTTTGCATGGGAGAATTCGAGTTTCTCATGAAAGGTTAATTTCTCATGGGTCCACATACTTTTTTGTTCGAAAACTTATAATTGCATAATTAGCTGATTTCAACACTATATAAAACATATTGTCTATCTATATTGTCTATCTGATCTATTCAATAGATTTTCATTGCTCCTACCACTAAATAGTTCCGATCACGCGATATGACTGATTTTGCTCCATGATTATTTCTTTCAGTATTCTAGATTTTCCTATAAAACTGCTCCGCTTTTATCCTGGTACCATCCGACCATTCTTCCTTCTGCATCTCGAGCGACCACATCTTGTAAAGTTTGTTGGACTGTATTGTTTTCCTCTCATTTGACAATTAGCCGTTTTTATACTTGTTAGTTTCGCTGATTTCTGCTTGGTTCTTGTTATGTCATCACATTTCTTTTTTGAGAAATTCATTATAGGCCCTCCTGTTACGCTAGATTATCGCTACATTGTGATTATCACTTTTTTTTACCCAAAACCTTCCCTACCTGAAGCCCTGTCGCCCAGATGAGAAATCTACCAAAGTCTATCAAATTTTTCTAAGTGCACTAAATGCTTACAATTTTCCTGACAAGGGAATGGTCAGAAGTCGAAGTGGCCAAAAACAAGCTGTATATCATTCGATGCAGTATAACGCTGACTTCGAATCTGTCTTCGTTATCTGCTTCCTGCTTCTGTGGACGAAGCTACAAGCGGTTTCATGTGAAAAAATCATACATCAAACAGCGAAATTGAGCACATTGTTGCACTTTTGGCTCGGTTTCTTGCTTCAAAAATTTTCGGTAAGCTAGCTGCATGTTTTGGCCCAGCATTGAGGCGAACGGGGCTCTGTACGGCTAAAGTTTCAATTTCACGCATAATTTCTAAGCAAAATAATGGTCTTTAATGCTTATAACTTCGTCCAGAAAAGCGATAAGCAGATAAAGAAGACAGATTTAAAGTCAGCGCTTCATGCCGCATCTAACGCTACGCAGCTTGTCTGGAATGGCCACTTCGATTTCTGACCATTCCCTTGTAAGTTGGTATTCGCCCATAGTGATACAGGTTTCTGCGTCTTTTTGAGCTACGGCAACAAGCACAAGCTACGGCAGTTTTGTGACATGAGATTTCCGAATTCATCTTCTGCCATAACGGAAAGAATAATCAGATAACAAGATGATCTGTTCAAAAGACTATTTGTGGAAATCCGAGTAAATTCTTTCCCATGCATGACTAAAAACAACTTTGAGCGACGCATGAATTCAAGCTTAGACTTGAATATGCACATCAATTACAACGAGATTTTTGAATAGACCTAGTTCTGAGTGACCTTGTAATGAAAATTTCTATGGTTTCGCCTAATCACCAACACTCTCCAACCTCTGTTTGTCTTTGCCTGTGCAAATCCAGCATTCATCTTCTAATTACTTACTTAAATGTCCCCCCCCCTGCTAACCTAATTATGAGATTCTTATTTTGAATGAATCTTTTTTATCACATCATAGTCAGAACTCACGCTCATATCCCTCCGAAAAGACGAACGTCCAGGTTCCAGAAAAGATCTTTATAGGATGCCGACGAATTCACTCTTTGCGTATTATAATCAGTCCAAGAAGTGTACAATAAGAGGGCAGTCTGCTAGGATTTGTTTTATGAGAACTGACGCAATGTTCAGAAGCTTAGGCAAATTTGTCCTTCCCTATATTCTAGCACTGTTAGCAAAAAACACGAAAAGTAAGCATCGCTTTAGTTTGCTCAGTTCGACTTCTGGAGTTGGGATAGGGAGTGACCATGGATAATATGATAAAAGGTCGTATCATATACTCTCTACATACATTTGTGCGTATTTTATCAGAATGCCGTAATAAAACATTGGAATTTTCTTACATAGCTATATCGCACGTTCTCAATAGCATTTCTTTCTTTATGCAGTCAAATTTCCTTTTAAAACGCAAGGAAACTTTACATCAACTTTATACTAATTTGTCCCTTTCCTGCTGGGACGATTAAAGACTATAACAAAGTATGTTTTTCGTTCAGACTCTTCCCTTGCCCTGCTGCGATAAATTCCCAAGTGGTTGAGTCCAGGCGTGTCTGTCATTTTGTTGTCAAGGGGACAATGAAAACACCAGCTAAATAAAGAGTGGCACATAATTTCCGTTTACAGCTAAGAAACCATAAAATAAACGTTTATTTTTCATCATTATAATGATGCAGCAAGAAATAAATGCACTCGTGTTTTGAGAGAGAGAAAGAGAACGTATGAATTCAATGCATTCAATGAATAATTTTGATTTCGAAAATTTAGCAGAAGGCAATGAATAACAGGAAAAGCTCTGAAATATGAATGCATCAAAATCTATACGAATTGACTAGACCATCCGTAATGTTGGACGATATTGATTTTTCTCCATATAGAAATGTTCACGGGTTGCTTTGTTATCCACTGGGATCCAATGATACCTAAAAAATAGAATTTTTATTGTTTAAACAACTCAGTTTTTTTTTGAAAAAGTGATGTGAAGTTTGGTTTACGCCAATTTTTTTTGATGAAGTCGAAAAAATAGAGTGTAAATAGACAACAAAGAAATTCATATTTTAGTGTACATTTTTTCTCCTCTGGTGCGATTACACACTTTACACCGAATTTGAGGGAATGGTGATCTAACGGTAAGAGAGATGAAATGTAAATCTGCGAGTGACTTGTTTTCATCTGTAAGTAGTCAAACGAATCTAAAAAGGTGAGGACCAGATAAGCTCAGTTTTTATGCTCCCGACACGCCCCTTTTCCGAATTTGACCAATATAGGCGAAATGGAGAAGAATGCCAAAAATTTCGGAAGGCGTGGCTAACGGCATTTTTGGTTCCGTTATCAATAATTTTCTGTCGTCCTCTCCCGAGAGAATTGCAGCAAAATTCGAAGTATGGTACGCAATTACACTTCAACTTACCGTGGACTCCTGATTACTGCTTTTGTTGCACATTTCTTGTGTAGGCAATATAATCGCACTGAGATACCATGTGCCAGAGACTGTATTGGATTTGGATGACATTTGATCCGAACCACATGCGAAGGGGCAAAAATCACATTACCACCCTCTTCCAGTAGATGCTGAAGCGATGGATATATCAAAACCATAGCGACAATCGAATAATCAATATGCATACCCTGTACACTTTTGAGACAACCATAGCGAAGAAATATTCAAAGCCGAATTCAACTGTGGGAAATGGTTGTTCATTTTCAACCAACATTTCTTCGTTTTCTATAGATTTGTGCACGAGAACTTCTGTTCGGGACCTGCAATCAACAGATTGGTAAACTCCGCCTCTTCGAATTTTCTGTGTACGCGATTACGGTGGATAATACTGTAGAATTGAGACAAGTATCACTGTAGGACTCAGATATTGATAAGATCTGTGCTTGAAACAACTTACTCGTCCAAACTATGTCGAACTATCATAAATTCCATAAATAATCCAGGCATATTGATGTTCATCGGAAGTATTCGTGGTAAATCCGTATGCACTGCATCTCTATACGCTAATCCTTGTTCGAGTAACGGCAAAAAGTCTTTTACTCTAAAAAACATAGTTATAAGGGGTTGAAGATCTTGATCTTTGTTACCTCAACGGTAATTTTTTAGCTAGTACTTCGTCAACAGACCACCATTGAGCTCCAAGAGATTCATGGTTGGGTTTTGTTTTCAGTTCACCGCCTATAAAGGTTTTATATAGCGAAAAGTTGTTATTACGTGAGACCTGCGAAAATAATAAATTATGTAAATTATTGATCCGAAACCTTGCATCTCCATGTGAAAAAGGAGTGAATCAAATAGAAGAATGGGTGGATGAATGAATGAGTAAACAAATAGAAGATCTATTCATTTGTGATCAATGCAAGAAGGAAAGTGGAAGAAATTTTAATAAATGGATGCACAGGACAAACCGATTTAGATCCGAGCAGTAAAAAATAAATGTTCAAAAATAAACTGAGCAGATCTGTGATTGAATGGATGACTTTTGAGTCAGAAATGCGAGGAAAACAATGCGAATGGAGTCTCAAAAAATTTCGGAGTGTTTTTTGGGAAGAAACTTTTGCGCCCTCTTCTTCCTACTTCTGAAGAACATTTCTGGGAGAATGAAAATAAAGTGAACTATCGAATGACTCATGAATGAATCAAGCAGACGGTAATGTATAAAGGAATCGAACTGAAGATGGAGAATCGAATGGAATGAATAAGATGATGTAAAAGAAAATACAATGAAAAAATGAGTGTGTGAAAAGGAATCAATCGATAGGTAGATACGATTGGATTTGACAACGAAATCTTGAACGGATTGTGTCAATGTGAACGAATGAATAAAACGAATGAATAACTGAGTAATGAATGAATGAGTGAATGGATGAATAATGAAAAAATGAATGAATGAAAAAATATAAAGGGAAGAAAGAAAGAATACATGAATGAATGAGTAGTGCATTACGAATGAGTAAATTTTTTGTTAAGTGAATGACTGACTGAGTGATAATGAACGAATAAAGAATTGGTGGAATGAAAGAAAGAACGAAGCAGTGAATGATCAAATAATTGAATTTTGAGCAAGTGCAATAGAGATGAAAATGATGTTATAAAAAATGCTCTTTCTTCATAAAAGATTTCTAACAAGTGATGCCAATGCTAACTTACTCGCGATTTCGCAGTAAAACGAAAATCGATACCATCCGCTGCCTTGGACCTCAAATTGAAATCTTATTTTTTGCCATAAAAGAGCAATTAATATTTGACAGACCTCCAGCGATAATAATTCAACAACTTCGCATTCATAGCCTGATTCTTCTCGTACTTCTCGCTTTACAGCATTCTTAATTGCTCAGAATTAGAAAAAAACTCAAAAATTTGCTTGTTCTTACCTCCAGTGTTTCGCCAGCTTCTACTCGTCCCGCAGGCATATACCATCTAAAATTGTACTTTTGTGAAATTTTTAGTCATTTTCGAGTTACAGTAACCGGAAAATGCGAGACAAACTCACTTTCCATAGCAAGTCTTTTTTGCTTCTTGAATCAGAAGCACTTCCGTATTAGGACCATCACCTCGTAATATAATACCCGCTGCGACGTAATTTACATTGTCATGTAATCGTACATATCGGCATTCTAAAAATATGAATTAGCCAGTAGTCGGTTCAATTACCCATTCAGGTATACGACTTACTGCCTAACTGCATGTCTGGTACCCGTTCTTCGCTCCATATCTCTCCGTCGAGATGCTTCTTTTTCTCTTCTCGTGGTGCTTTACCATTTTTTAGAATTCCATGGGTAGGTGAGTCTCCTGAAAGTACGAGGATTGTTGCGTTAGGTGATGGAGCTTCGTGATTGGTCAGCCAATCAGAGAAGAGCTGTTTCTGGACCAATCAGAGAAAACGAAAGCTTGCGGTACGCTTTTTCGTAATAAAATTCACACTTCTAGTCCGGCCTTTTTTTGACTGTAAAGAATTTATGAACAGGGTAAAGCGGGGGGTGCGGCACGCCGCAAGGGGGGTCGTAAGGGGGGGGGGTAGGTAGGGGGGGGTCGTATCGACCCAAGGTCAGACTAACTTAACGAAAGCGCTGTTGAAAGCCTGCGAAATTAAAGTTCAATGACGCGAACTCGCAGATACCGTATGCCTACCGTAACCTACCATACCGCTAATCAAGTATAATTGTCGTAATCAGCATGTCGAATAACCCCTATGCGCCAAGTTTCAGCGAACTCTGAGGTCTCCGAGCAGTAAACAACCTTGTATAAAGCAGTAATTTAAAACATGATTAACTTCATCTTAACGGTGAGTAAGCTACCTCTTCTTGCACTCAATACAAAGCACTACTCCTTCTTTGTCCACCTCAGGAATTCCGCTTCAGAAGACCTCCAAACTATTGAATTAGAAGCCAACCAAAATCGCTTTTAGCTTTTGATCGCTGTGCTTTCACCAAATATTACTCAGAGCTAAGAAGACGAATCAGGCTCAAAACATCCCTATGGAATCTACGAGGTTTAGGCTATTGATTCATATAAATATTGTCCGCTAAAAATGTTTTTTGATAAAGTTAATGGCCTGCGGCACCCCCCCCTCAAAACCTGCCGCAGGTTTTGAGGGGGGGTGCCGCAGGCCATTAACTTTATCAAAAAACATTTTTAGCGGACAATATTTATATGAATCAATAGCCTAAACCTCGTAGATTCCATAGGGATGTTTTGAGCCTGATTCGTCTTCTTAGCTCTGAGTAATATTTGGTGAAAGCACAGCGATCAAAAGCTAAAAGCGATTTTGGTTGGCTTCTAATTCAATAGTTTGGAGGTCTTCTGAAGCGGAATTCCTGAGGTGGACAAAGAAGGAGTAGTGCTTTGTATTGAGTGCAAGAAGAGGTAGCTTACTCACCGTTAAGATGAAGTTAATCATGTTTTAAATTACTGCTTTATACAAGGTTGTTTACTGCTCGGAGACCTCAGAGTTCGCTGAAACTTGGCGCATAGGGGTTATTCGACATGCTGATTACGACAATTATACTTGATTAGCGGTATGGTAGGTTACGGTAGGCATACGGTATCTGCGAGTTCGCGTCATTGAACTTTAATTTCGCAGGCTTTCAACAGCGCTTTCGTTAAGTTAGTCTGACCTTGGGTCGATACGACCCCCCCTACCTACCCCCCCCCCCCCCCCTTACGACCCCCCTTGCGGCGTGCCGCACCCCCCGCTTTACCCTGATGATATCTATTGTATGCCACAAGAAACTATGGCGCTTACACGATGTTTAGACAATGTTCAAATTTTTTTTTCGAGGCTCCACACAAAGTGCTCTAGGTTATCAACCATCCGAAGTTACCAATTCCTAAGTTTGACGGCTTTTGATGAAAAACTGATGGGAATATTCACAAAATTACGATGAGTTACATTTTCGCTGGTTTTTGGCCTTCAAAACCCAAGTTTTGAATCTGTTTCAAGACATATGGTTAGACAGTCGTGGAAACGATCTTGCATATCCCTACAGAATTTCAGAAGTCTTTTAAAACGTTTTTAAACGCTAAAAATTCGCTAATTGGTGTCTATCTGGCAAAAAAAAATCGCCTCTTGACATACACCCCAAGAGCGAGAGGGGGGGGGGTAGGGAATAGGGGGGGGGTCGTGCGGGGGTCCGACCCAAGGGGGGGGGTCGTGTCCGACGGTCGTGTGCCGCACCCCCCGCTTTACCCTGTTTATGAAATTCATTTTCGTCATCGCCCACTTCCCCCCCCCCCCCTCCCCCGCTAAACCCTTCAATCCCCCCTTCTTCACACGAAATTATACACCGCATCTTCCAACAGCCAATTATTTTCGCATCCTTGCCAATGAATATGAACGATGTTTTTTCTCTAACAATCGCGCCACACATCTAAGTCTTCTCACAGACCCATCTGTGCGTTCATTTAGCCTATTTCTTCTCCATTCTTTTCATAGTTTATGCAAAAGTGCAGAAAAATGAGAGTCTGATTCTGCGCATTCCACTGAGCGTGTGTCTGCTAAGAAAAGTGCAAACGTATACCTCCTTCGATAAATTCGGGTGTCGGTTCTGGTGTTGGATCACGACTTTCGGCTATATACTCCTCGTCCGAGATAACCATCTAGAAAAGTGAGAATGAATTTTTTGGATGGTCTTCCACGCCGAAAGTGGAGAAGTTAACACGATAAACGCGGTATCACGGGTGTAGGAAAAAAAGGGTTTTATTTAGAGAACACTATAATTTGTGCAGTGGAAATCATGCAAGGAATAAGCAGATATCAAGATAGCTGCTGGCCGCAGTCATACTCTAGAAAGCCAAGATCAGTGCAGAGATAGACTGTGAATAGGTTTTGGCAGCGAGCCAGGGGAATACAAAAAAGAACTTGAAGTGAAAATATTTCTCTGGTCAAATATTCGCTAAACTTAGCTGCTAATACCCGGCTGTTTATTTAGAACTTATTTTTCAAAAATGTTAATGACAAAATTAAGCCGTAATTCTTATGTGGATGCTTGGGAAGGTCTAACTAGGCCAGGACCTAAGTAACAAACCATACGATCGATTCGCGGTCGAAAATTCCAACTCTAAACCCTTGCCCAAACCGTAATCTTTCCGAGAAATGGGCGTTTTCAATACTATGGGACTAAGCAGTACTCAAACTTGAATTTCTCGGTCACGAATGAATAATTTAAGTTGCCAATTTGGCGATTTGTCACCTAGGATTTTCTATAAATGTCCACTAAGAAACAAGAAACTCAGGGAAATTTACTCGCAGGACCATCTTCATCGGGCACTGTAGTAGGATTCAAATGCGGTAGCGAATGCGAACGAAGATAAGCGAATAAGTGGATGAATAAATAAAAACACGAGCTCAACATTTTTGGATAACGAGTCGATGAATGAGAAATGTGAGAGAGTCGAATCGATTAGGTGCCTAATAGAAAAATGTTTGAATTGCAAACAAAAATGATAATTAAACGAATTGATTAAACCGCAAATCGGTGAAAAACTGTTCAATAGAAAGAAGTATGAAGGGATGACTGAGTTGCAGTTACCCTCTTCAATCAAGTTGCCGCTCGGTTTAGTAATTCCCTCGTAGATAGCTTAATTCTCTCAAAAACATTTGATTTTCACCTATTTTTAAGAGTATCATGGCTAGAAATTACCTAGGAATCCAATCACGTCGAGTTGTTATTCAAGCTTCCAATGCTCTACTTCCTCAGTCGTTTTCTGCTGCGGCCAAATACCAAACATAGAATTGTTATTTTGCTGCTGGAACAGCTGTTTACACCTATTGCCGCAGAATCAGCAAAAGTTTTATTCTTCATGTTCTACATTTAAAAAACTCTCTATGGCTGAGTATAATCTCATCGCGTAATTACGAGATATCTAGTTATTAGGTCGTTCCGAAGGTAATGTCGCTTTTTTTCAAACGTATGCCACATCTCGTGGAACAAAGATGTGTAAGAGATTCTGGTAGTATTTGATGCAGCATTTCATTCTCTTTTTCATGGTTATGAAGTTGCTGCAATACGTTCAATGAGCTTCCAGGAAAGAGTCAAAATCTGCGACCTATGCTATTTGAGATGGCCAAGTTTCACAATTTTTCTAAAATTTTATAACAAACTTCAAAAGGAGTCCAAGTGATGGATGGATGGAGCAAACCCTACAAGAAACAGCACCTTTTTTTCTACTTTCCAGAGCTCGTCATAATTTTTGTACAGATTTTTTGATGGAACCACCGAATTTTAGCATTCTCGCCCTTGACATAAATGCATCAAACACCAGCAAGTCTCCGGACTTGGAGAGTTACAAAGATGGATTATGGTTTGGCAACAATTTTACAAACCAAACGAGCATTCACCGCTTCGGTTTAGCAACTTTCGAAAATTTCGGGTACACGTTGGGGTGCTTTGGAAAAGTTGACTTATGATATTTTTATCCCGGAAAACTTGATGAATCGGAAACAAAAAACAACTAATAAAAAGAGGAGAAAAAGCTGCGTCGAATGACATCCGAGTTGCTTGCCGGTTGCTGTTCTGTGTGGTTTGAGTTGACCAAATATGCAATTTCATATCATTAAAATATTGTTTCCAGAAACTCTAAGAAGCAGGCTAAGGGGAAGGAAAAATTATCCCGTGTCCTATAGGGTTTGCTTTATCTAACTGTCACTTGCACATCTTCGGAGAATAGGTACAAAAATTTCGAAAAATAGCCGAACTTGACAATGGCAAAAAGCATGAGTCGCAGATTTTGGTAATTTTTCGAGAGCTCTTTAAACATTATGCAGTGAAATTAGAACCGTCAGAAAGAGGATGAAGTGCTGCATCGAATGTTCCTAAGATCTCTTGAAAATGTTGATTTCACGAATAGTGGCGTTCATTCGAAAAAAGCGACATTACTTTCGGAACGACCTAATATATAGAGTAGGGACCTTTATTATTTCATGCTCTAAAATTTTTGTCGATTCTTGACATTACTATATGACCAGTGCGTCACCTCTGCTTCGCAGAGGTTCGCACTGGTCCTACTCTATACGTCTACTTATTCTCGCGTAATAATGGCTTTGAAACTCACAATAATGACACTGGAACTCACCGCGCTATGCGGACTATCAAGAATAATTTGTAAACAACTATTCATTCCAAAAGCTTTTCCATATGAGATCGGTAATTTCGCAGAACCAAACTTTTCTCGAAAGAACAAATGCAAATTTGAATTGGTTTTTGGACTTTTCATGGCTTGATATTCGCTATAAGATGCCATAATCACCGTGGACTACACATCTGTGCAAAAATCTTCTCAAACGATCGGATAAAATCTTAGCGAAATTCACGTAATCTATTCTTTTTGACGCCGTTTTCGCAAAGTAATAAACTTTAGTTCACTTATTTAGGCTCAAGTCCATGGCTTGCACATTAACTTGTCAAACATATCAGTGGCTTTGCAAAAAGTTGCGCTACAGGCTCAATTTCACTGGCCAAAAGCCAAGTGGATCCGTTTCACGCGCATTTTTCGAGGGATCCACTCAATGGATCCGCTCGTGCTTCTGTACAGTGGATTCTCATGTAAGTAGCATGCGCTGTGCAGAATTTGGGCTCAGAAGGTTGGCTGGAACTCGCTCTACGAATTTCGTGACAGACAGACGTACACACAGACACACAGACAAACAGACGTAAAAACCCTTAGCCCGTTATTATTAAGTCATAGATAATTTGGCTAACCAATTGTGTGAACTGAAACTTCCCATATGTTCTTTGATTTGCATTTCGTAATGTTGGAGGGGACTGACTTTGGTGGATGTCTGGACACCAAACAGTGAATTGTTTTCGGGATAAAATAAAAAGCCCTTTGATGCGGAAAAAAGGAAGTGGGACAGGGAACCTGACATTCCTTAGAGTATTCAAATAACAAAAGTTCTTGAGATCTGATATTGGCTTGGCTAAGTCTTGGCAATTTAAAAAAGCTTTTATTTTGATTTTGGGGAGAAAAAATGAACTGAAGCGAGATGGGAAATTAGGAGAAAAAATAAAACGAATGATAAAGTGGATGGGAGCGAACAATGATGGAAAAAAGGCTTGTTTGGGGATGGAGCAAATGAACAGCATGAACATCTGTGCTAACATAGATTATTCAATGTTTTCGGCGCATGGACGAGCAAATTTTATGAATTTTTGGAAGATTTCAAGGATCATTCCGAAGCTTGGGAAGAGGGTTGCAAGCTTCTGATTGTGAGTGGAATTTCGAACCTCCATAGCTCCCACCTGGCCCCGCCCCCTGCTCACTTTCAACGAAAGTAAACAGGAAATTTTATTGCCTCAACCCCCCCCACCGCCTGGGTACGGTGGATGACGTTACGATGCATGCGCAAATGCTATAAATATGTTGATGAGTTCCAGATGTCTAGCTGTACAATGTGGGTGGCGCTCCCCGTTACGGCTCCCCACCACCCGCCAATTCACATGTTTCGCGTGCAAAAAACGTGCGGCGCATAAATCGTGGGATTGACGTAAAAATGCGGACATAAGGTTATTTCAGCGGGTATGGAGCTGCGCATGTGTCCGGGTGTCCTTTTGAGTGGAGAGAATTTAGGTAATTAAGTTCGCAGCCTATAGGTCAAGTGTAGCCCTGTGAGAGGTGATTACTAGCATTTTATGGAATGAATTACGTCACGAATGCTGCTAAAAGAGGAACCTTTGCAAAAAAAATTCCTGTTTCAATGCGCCAAAAATTTCCTTTCGGAGTTTTATCACTGAATATTTCCTAAAACATTCCTGCTTCAACCAGCTTTGATTTTAAAAAAACTCGTTCCAAGTGTTATTTCTAAAAGAATTTGAAAAATTCCTGTTTCACATTTTGTCTACTAAATAATCTTGGGAAATTTCTGTTTCCAATTTTTCACCGAAAAAAAATTTTCTACTAGATTTTCAGTCACTAGATATTTTTTAGAAAATTCCAGTTTCGTATTCTCCGGATGACTCTCATGAACTTTATTTTTAGATTTTATCATATTATCGTCAATTTTTATTATCATTTATGATATTATCTTTTGACATTTCAAAAAATTTTTGTTATTCAGGTTCCAAATGAAAAATTTCTTCTCGATTGATCCAACGTTTTCAGTATTTTGATCTACTGTCATCGGTAGAAGGAGAAATTTTCGAGGAATTCCCGCAAAATTATCGAACTTCCAGCATATATCCAATTGAGAATGTTTAGAAATCAATTAAGTTAAGTACGAAAGCAAGAAATTCATTTTTATCGGTTTGACTACTTACAAGGAAAAATTTACAATTTTTTTTTGATCCAAGAAAATGCAAGAATTCCAAGTTTCTTATAATCTACTGAAGCGCAAAAACGCAGAAATAGACCTCTACTAATCTACAATCTTAACTCATTTTTTATAGTTGATAGTTACTCAGAAGAGCATCTATTACTTAATTTTGTATTGATTGTCTCTGGTTTTTCTCGATATACAAAAAATCCACAGCGCGAGATTTACCACCAAATATAAACTTACGCATTTATTTTTACAGAATACAGTGAAAGATGAGAAGAACATAGACGATGCCAGCTGAAAGGGCAACTTGGAGAAAGAATGGAATAAATTTCTTATAGCAATG